CAAGAGAGATGCTGGATGAGGATGAGCAGTTCTACAGTAGCGTATCAGGACAACCTTACCAGGATATACCTTCTATTGGAGTCATCAAACTTGTCTCTGATCAAAACCGTCCGCAGACACTTGAGAGACGTGTAAGTTGGGCTGGTGAAGATTTTGACAATCTTAATACTTCACGTCCCTTAGCGAGGTCCAGTGCTCGTAGATCTTTTGACGAGAGGGAAACATTTACTTCATCATCAACTACGCAGAAGCGACGTAGAAGTCCATCGCCTGATAAACAGAAAGGAGACTTCCCGACAATTGGAGTTATAAAGTTGATTCGTCCCGATTCCCTCAAGCAACCGCTCTGGAATGAGCTAAACCGCTATGTTGCACCATCTGGCCAGTCTTCACTTACAAGACACGAATCATGGAATGAGACAGATATCAATGAGACACGGAGAACCAGATCTGCAAAGAGGCCACAGACGATAGATAGTTATACTGAACCTGCTATCACCTGGCCCCAGTTGATCCACACCGTGAGAGATCTTGTGATGAAGAACGGACAAAGACATCAAAATCAGGAAGCAAGAAGGCTCCGATTCTTGGAGTTTTCAAATTGAAATCAACGAAAGAAAAGACCCCGAAAGTCTCTGCTGTTTCTCAGGGTACAAATCCAGACCGGCCTTGGCACCATCTGGTTTCTCAGTTGGAAGAAGAAATAGAGTCATCGGTCATACGAAAGACAAACCAAAGGCCCGATCGATCTGAACCACGGACAGTCAGCATTGTGAAACTTCAAGCTCCTCACCAACCAACACCTGACACCAGAACTAAGGGAACCAATCCAGACCTCTCGTGGAACCAAGTGCTGAGGATGATACAGAGTGAAACAGAGGAGATTGTTGAGAGGAAGCAAACGTTGAAGCAGAAAACACCTAGTAATCTTGGATCGATTCAACTGAAATCAAACCCCAGACCACCAATGTTTGATTGCTCAACCCAGCCAGAACTGTCGTGGCCGCAAGTGGTCAAAATCATCAAAGAGGAAACAGAAGAGTTTGGAAAGAAACCGTCCGTTCCCAAAAATGACAAAGGCATACAACCTGAAATGAACTGGCCTGAAATAATTCAACTTGTTCAACAAGAAGTCATTAAGCAAGTTAAGGAAACTGAGGTAACCAAAAAGAGTGAACAAAAGTCTGACAAAGTTCCTCTTGCTGTAATTAAGCTAGTTGGTGCTGAGGACATACCCAAACTCAAGCAAGATCAAACAACAGAACCAGAACTCTCATGGGGCCAAATGGTAAGGATGGTGCAGACTGAAGTAGAGGATATCATCCGAACGAAGACCAAAAAGGAACCAAAAAGGAAGGAAACCGGTGACGCTAGTACAGAACCCGAACTGACCTGGCCTTTGTTGGTTAGGATAGTGCAAGAAGAAGTTGAAAATATCGTCAAGAAGAAGAATACCAAGACTACAACTGAAAAGGGCACGAGGCCTGAAAATGACTGGAGCACGGTCGTTGGTACCATTCAGGAGACAGCGATTGAGGAGTTTAACAGGATTTCTCAAAAGAAAAAGCCAAAAGATGAAAAGCCGCCGCTCATAGGGATATTTAAACTGAAAGCACAAGAACAACCACAAGTCAACTCTGTTCCTCGGCCAAGGACGGTTGAGCAAGGTACGCATCCTAGTACATCGTGGGATCGACTCCTCAGTAGAATCGAGGAAAACGCGATCATGTCCATCAAGAGAACGTCTACCAAGCAGAAGCCAAAGCTTGCTGAACCTACTTCAATTGGAATTATCAAATTGAGGGCACCTGACGTCAGCCAAAAAACAGAAACATCTACTCAATCCGAGGACATTGACGTGTCTCACAGCTTTACTCAGCCTGACCGATCATGGCGAGATCTCCTAAGAGGTTTGAAACTAGAACTTGAGAGTGAGTATATGAAGACCATCCGAGAATTAGAGGCCCACATCGCATCACAGGAAGACCATCCTGATTATGCACCAACCGTTCAATCACTGGGGGTTTTGACCCTGAAGGCACCAAGAGAAGAAAAGAAAGGATTAAGAAATAGCTTCACTCAGTATCATACCCCAGTCATTAGCGAAAAGTTCACACAGTCGGACAAGTCTTGGCCAGAACTCATGATGAAAATTGAAGAGGAAACAGAGCGTAAGCTTACTCGGCGCGTGAAGACACCAAAGGTTTCTCAACAAGAATCCCAAACAGAAGAGGAAATCCCAGCTTTGTTCCTTGATGAACCAATTGCACCTTCTGTCGTACCTCAAGAATTTGCTAGTCCTGTAATTGACCAAACAGATTCAGATGTTCAAGTGGGGCCTGAAATGGCTGATAGCACATCTTCGCCCATAGTTGTAAGAAGGAGCAACACGCAGATTATGGTAAAACCAAGCGTTACAGATAACTCCACGGAGATGTCAACAAAGACAAATGACAGAACAACCCAGATAGGGAGAATAAGTCCAAATGTACGAGATAAGCACACATCAATTTGGGCAAGAAACTGCTGATTCGAATGTGCAGGTGACAGAAATGAAGAATCTCAAAGACCGTATGGCGCAAACAGAATTCCACAGTTCAGAATCGAATACTCAAACAGCACCAATGCCAGAAATTGTTCCGGAGCCAGCAGTTATTGTTGAAGCACCTACTTTTGAAATGAGTTTCCCAGAAGTCAAGCCCGACACAAGAGATGCTTCAACGGCTACACTAGATGCACCAGAAACAAAAGATCAATCTTTGGAGGTTGCACCTGACTTGGAAGAAAAAGCTGTTAGTGCATGGAAGGTATCCCTTCGGAGTTTCACTACCCAATTCGATACACCACTACCCAAAACTACAACATCGGGTCAACAGACTTCAGTTTCAGTCCTCGAGAAAGGAACTGCAACCTTAACAAAGACCCCTGGTTTTGCTGGCGTTCAAGTATCACCAGTTTATGAAACGCACAGCACATCTGTTGAAAAGACAAGGTTGACATCAACCCCTGTGCAAGTTACCATGAAGAAAGACACAAAGAATTCAACATCAAATACAGACAAAGTTCCAACAGCAGACGTGTCGGTTGAGGCAGAAATTGATGCTGTGGATACTCAGGATGATAGTACCTCTACTATTAAGGTTGATGTGAGGGACTCCACTTTCAGATCACTGCTGAAACAATATCGGCTGGAGCACAGGTCACTTCTAAGTTGGCATCAACATCTACATCTGCGCCAAGACCAACTACCGCTGCAAAAGACGTGCAAATCTCTACAAAACAGGTGGAGAGGCAGACATCAACGGATGAGGTAAAGATGAAAGACGCAGGTGTAACTGTAGACCTGTCATCAAAGAAACAGGTTGTGAATTACTATTTGGAGCAACTGAAAAAGAAGCCAAAGGTTACCCCAAAATCTTCTCAATGCGACTTGCTTGTTGTTCCAAAAATGAAGGATATGGCCAGTGAGATAAAACCTAAGCTACGCAATCAACAACAACAGATGACTCCCGTGGGAGACAATGACAGCACCCAATACGACCCAGTGAAAGTTACCAATAACACTACTCAGTTGTCTATAGTCCACCCTAAAGTGAAGGATTCATCGACACAATCGATTCCATCTACGAAAACTACTGGAGCATTGGCAAGTACTGAAAGTCATGACATATCTACTCAAGCAACACTTGAACCAGAAGTGATCGAACAGGTCGTAATAACACCTGAAGAGACTCAGTTTAACATGACTTGGAGTGAGCCTCCAAAGACAATCGAAACATCAGATGCCAGTACGTTCATTGATGGTGTAGATAAATCCAACAAGACTACAGAAACCTATGTTCACTCTGATGAAAAGGAAACTACAACTTGGACAACTTCGAAGCAGTTTTCATTGCAGTATCACAGTCCTGTTGACGACTTTACTCACCAGATGAGTACATCGGTTCTTGATAAACACACGTCGACTGACCCAAAGATTCCAAAAGATGCCGGTTTCCAAGTTAACCCTGTTTATTCGGCACATGCAACACAGATTTCACGTCCTCAGTTAACTGCCAAACCAACACAGGTGAAGCCGAATTTGGCAAATGTTGGTTCAAATACTGTTCCTGTCAAGACAGCCCAGATGAGTTCTCAGCTTACACAGGTTAAGCAAGATGTGAGAGATAATATTTCAAACACAGACTTCGTGAGGATGTCCGATAAAATCAGTGAAGCAGACATACCACATCCAAGAGAAGAGATAGTGCAACCCGAAATTGTTCAGCCTGTTCTGATGGCACCAACATTCCTTAAGCCAGAGACAGCTAATGTTTCTGTAAACACAGATGGCTTACCAACATCCTCTAATGCATCTACGTTAACAGAACGCGTAGAGGTTGCAATAGGAAAGGCACAAGCAAGTGCAACTGTTAAGGAGCTTTCCACAAATACATCTAAAGTGGAAATAAAGAGTACGTCTAGTACAGCTGACATCAAGCCCTCCGGGGTTGACTTCTCACAGCAAGCTGAAATGCACAAAGATGCTGGTCAAGATGCTTCCATAAACACAGAGCAAGCCAAAATACAAGTGACAGCTGTCAACACAGTTTCACCAGATGTCAAGATCACAGCTGTGAATACATCTCCTGCACCAGAGAGGAAGAATACCTCCTCACAGTTCACGCTCCAGAGCACCACATCCTCAGTGATGGCTGTTCCCAACTTAACCAATGGAACTACACAATATGAGAGTTCTGCGACTACTTCATCGATGAATACCGATAAGATTGAACAACTTGATCAACAATCATATGTTAGCATGCAGTCTCCCGTTCAAACTGAGAAGATTGTAATGCAAGAGTTGCCACCAGTTCAGTTTGCTGCTCCTGTATTTTCTCCCGCCACTCACAGACACCCAGTCCCAAGTTACACCTGACCAGAAAGATTCAAGTAGCAACACTACATTGGTTGAAGTTACAGATTCAACTTCACAAATCAAACCAGCCATGAGTACGACCATGTCTGCAGTTAACCCAAAGATGGAAAATGCTGCTGTTGGTGTGTTCATAGGTGGTCAAGATTTTGCACAGCAGGCTAAGATAGAGGATTTGCCAGCAGATACTATTGACAGTAGTTCAAACACAGTTCCGTCTGTTTCGAAGGATGGAGCTAGTAATACGTCCCCCTTACCTGTCAGAGCAAACATTGGATCTCAGATTTCTGCCACTACATCTATTGCAGCTGTTTTGGTGAAACCAGATATTGCAGTTGGCGCTACGATCACCACTGTCGATGCAAAAGATGGATCGAGTAATACTTCTCCACTCCCAAAGTTAGCAGATAGTGGATCACAAATTTCCATTCCAGACGTAAAGAGCACCTCAAATGAGACGCAATATGAAAGTACAGTTATTAGTAGTTCATCGAACACAGATACTGTGGTACACGTTGACAAGTCTTCTCTGGTGAATATTCCTGTGGAAATAAAGACCGAACAGGTTATCAAGGAAGTAGTCCCTCCAGTGCAGTTTTCCCCTCCAATTTTCTCTCCACCAATTACCAACACTGCAGCTCAAATTTCGCCGGAGCAAAAGGATTCAAGCAGCAACACCATCTCAGCCAGCGTCAAAGACACACCATCACAGATCACGCCAGATGTGGCTTCAACAATGTCAACAGTGCAACCTACAACATCAGATATGGCGGCCCATGTGATTGCTCAGAGCTCAGACTTCACTCAGCAAGCTAAAATCCAAGCCGAAATTGCAGATGCCACAGCCAATACCGATGTCACGGATGTGAAAGATGGAGCTAGTAATACTTCACCTCTTCCTGTGAGGGCGCATACTTTTGTCAATACTGACATTGTAGAACATCAAGACCAATCTTCTATGGTGAATATCCCTATGGAGGTAAAGACGGAAAAGATCATTGTGCAAGAAGTTCCTCCCGTCCAGTTCTCAGCGCCAGTTTTCTCTCCTCCAATTACAGAGCAGAAGGACTCGAGCACAAACACAAAGCTACCAGCAACTCAGAGAGATTCAAGCAGCAACACCTTGGCTGTTATTGTCAAAGACGCACCAGCACAGATCAAGCCAAATGTGACTTCAACAATGTCAACAGTGCAGCCTGCTACATCCGAGACGGCAGCCCATGCTATTGCACAAGGTACAGAATTTACTCAACAAGCTAAAATCCAAGCCGAAATTGCAGATGCCACTGCCAATACTGATGTAACGGATGTGAAAGATGGAGCTAGTAATACTTCCCCCTTACCTGTCAGAGCAAACATTGGATCTCAGATTTCTGCCACTACATCTATTGCAGCTGTTTTGGTGAAACCAGATATTGCAGTTGGCGCTACGATCACCACTGTCAATGCAAAAGATGGATCGAGTAATACTTCTCCACTCCCAAAGTTAGCAGATAGTGGATCACAAATTTCCATTCCAGACGTGAAGACCACCTCAAATGAGACGCAATATGAAAGTACAGTTATTAGTAGTTCATCGAACACAGATACTGTGGTACACGTTGACAAGTCTTCTCTTGTGAATATTCCTGTGGAAATAAAGACCGAACAGGTTATCAAGGAAGTAGTCCCTCCAGTGCAGTTTTCCCCTCCAATTTTCTCTCCACCAATTACCGACACTGCAGCTCAAATTTCGCCGGAGCAAAAGGATTCAAGCAGCATCACCATCTCAGCCAGCGTCAAAGACACACCATCACAGATCACGCCAGATGTGGCTTCAACAATGTCGACAGTGCAGCCTACAACATCAGATATGGCAGCCTATGCGATTGCCCAAGGTACAGACTTTACTCAGCAAGCTAAAATCCAAGCCGAAATTGCAGATGCCACTGTCAATACCGATGTCACGGATGTTAAAGATGGAGCTAGTAATACTTCACCACTTCCTGTAAGGGCCCATATTGCTTCTCAAATCCAGGCTGACACCTCGATCGCCTCAATGATGGCTAGACCAATGGTTACTGAGGGCTCTGTGAACACTGACATTGTAAAACGCCAAGACCAGGCTTCTCTTGTGAATATCCCTATGGAGGTAAAGACAGAACAAGTTATCAAGCAAGAAGTTCCAGCTGTACAGTTCTCAGCTCCAGTTTTCTCTCCTCCAGTTTCCGAGACTGGAGCTCAGATTTCACCTGACCAAATGGAGTCTAGTACCAACACCAAGCTGCCTGCAGTGCATTTAGATTCGAGTGTAAACACCCTTCCAGTCAGTGTCAAAGACACACCAGCACAAGTCAAGCCAGATATGACTTCAACAATGTCAACAGTGCAACCCACTACATCTGATATGGCAGCCCATGCGATTGCCCAGGGTGCACACTTCACTCAGCAAGTTAAGATTGAAGACCCATCTCCCGAAATTGCAGATGCCACTGCACAAGTCTCACCAGATATGACTTCTACAACGTCTACAGTGCGACCCACTACATCGGATATGGCAACCCACGTGATTGCTCAGGGTGAAGACTTTGCACAACAGGCTAAAATCCAAGCCGAAATTGCAGATGCCACTGCCAATACTGATGTCACTGATGTAAAAGATGGAGCTAGTAATACTTCACCACTTCCTGTGAGGGCTCATACTTTTGTCAATACTGACATTGTAGAACATCAAGACCAATCTTCTATGGTGAATATCCCTATGGAGGTAAAGACAGAAAAGATCATCATGCAAGAAGTTCCTCCAGTCCAGTTCTCAGCGCCAGTTTTCGCTCCTCTCATTACTGATTCTGAAGCTCAGATTTCACCAGACCAGATGGACTCAAGCACAAACACCAAGTTACCAGCAATCCAGAGAGATTCAAGCAGCAACACCTTGGGTGTTAGTGTCAAAGACGCACCAGCACAGATCAAACCAAATATGACTTCAACAATGTCGACAGTACAGCCTGCTACATCCGAGACGGCAGCCCATGCAATTGCACAAGGTACAGATTTTACTCAACAAGCTAAAATCCAAGCTGAAATTGCAGATGCCACTGCCAATACTGATGTCACTGATGTAAAAGATGGAGCTAGTAATACTTCACCACTTCCTGTGAGGGCTCATACTTTTGTCAATACTGACATTGTAGAACAACAAGACCAATCTTCTATGGTGAATATCCCTACGGAGGTAAAGACGGAAAAGATCATCATGCAAGAAGTTCCTCCAGTCCAGTTCTCAGCGCCAGTTTTCGCTCCTCCCATTACTGATTCTGAAGCCCAGATTTCACCGGAGCAGATGGACTCGAGCACGAACACCAAGCTACCAGCAACCCAGAGAGATTCGAGCAGCAACACCTTGGTGGATGTGAAAGATGGAGCTAGTAATACTTCGCCACTTCCTGTAAGGGCCCATATTGCTTCTCAAATCAATGCTGACACCTCGGTCGCTTCCATGATGGCCAAACCTTTGATAACAGAGGGTGCCGTGAACACTGACATTGTAAAACAACAAGACCAGGCTTCTCTTGTGAATATCCCTATGGAGGTAAAGACGGAAAAGATCATCATGCAAGAAGTTCCTCCAGTCCAGTTCTCAGCTCCAGTTTTCGCTGCTCCAATTACTGATTCTGAAGCTCAGATTTCACCAGACCAGATGGACTCGAGCACGAACACCAAGCTACCAGCGATCCAGAGAGATTCAAGCAGCAACACCTTGATGGATGTTAGAGATGGAGCTAGTAATACTTCACCGCTGCCTGTGAGGGCTCATACTTTCGTCAACACTGACACAGTAGAACATCAAGATCAGGGTTCTACAGTAAATATCAAACCAAATATGGCTTCAACAATGTCGTCAGTGAGCCCTGTAATGATGGATACAGCAGCCCTCACGATTGTCCGGGGTGCTGATTTCACTCAGCAAGTTAAAATCCAAGCCGAATCTAAAGACGCCGCTGGAAACACACATGTTACGGATGTAAAAGATGATGCTAGTAATACGTCCCCACTTCCAGTCAGGGTACATGCTGCCTCTCAAATCCAGACGGACACCTCTATTGCGTCAATGATTGCCAGACCACTTGTGACTGAAGGTTCGACTACGACACTTCACGTTACAAATTCCACCAGTGAAACACAATACGAAAGTACCTCAATCAGTAGTTCCATGAACACTGTTATTGTAAAACAACAAGACCGTGCATCTCTGGTGAATATTCCTATGGAGGTAAAGACAGAACAAGTTATCAAGCAAGAAGTTCCAGCTGTCCAGTTCTCAGCTCCAGTTTTCTCTCCTCCAGTTTCCGAGACTGGAGCTCAGATTTCACCTGACCAAATGGAGTCTAGTACTAACACCAAGCTGCCTGCAGTGCATTTAGATTCGAGTGTAAACACCCTCCCAGTCAGTGTCAAAGACACACCAGCACAGGTCAAGCCAGATATGACTTCAACAATGTCAACAGTGCAACCCACTACATCTGATATGGCAGCCCATGCGATTACAGAGGGTGCAGACTTCACTCAGCAAGTTAAGATCGAAGACCCATCACCTGAAATTGCAGATGCCACTGCACAGATCTCACCAGATATGACTTCTACAATGTCAACAGTGCGACCCACTACATCGGATACAGCAACTCACGTGATTGCTCAGGGTGCAGACTTTACTCAACAGGTTAAAATCCAAGCAGATGTGAAAGATGGAGCTAGTAATACTTCGCCACTTCCAGTAAGGGCCCATATTGCTTCTCAAATCCAGGCTGACACCTCGATCGCCTCAATGATGGCCAAACCATTGATAACAGAGGGTTCGGTGAACACTGACATTGTAAAGCATAAAGACCAGGCTTCTTTTGTGAATATCCCTATGGAGGTAAAGACGGAAAAGATCATCATGCAAGAAGTTCCTCCAGTCCAGTTCTCAGCTCCAGTTTTCTCTCTCCCTGTCACTGATTCTGAAGCCCAGATCTCCCCTGAAGTGATGGAATCTAGCACAAACACTAAGCTGATAGCCCTTCAGAAAGACTCGAGCATCAATACATCGAAAATTACCATGAAACATACAACATCCCAAGTCAAACCAAGTGTTAACACATCAGGAGCCCTTGCAATAGCTTTAGGTAAAGATTTTACACAACAAGCTAAAATCCATGCTGACATTTCAGATGCCACTGCAAATACTGATATCATCAGTGTAACGGATGGAACTAGTAATACCTCACCTCTTCCAAAGATGTCTACTATTGGGTCTCAGTTCATCAACAGAACCACGTCCTCATCTGTTTCGGTCAGACAGAGTGTCACAGAGAGTTCCACAATAACAACCAATATTCAAAGTATGACAAGTGAGACGCAGTATGAAAGTAAAGCTGTCCACAGCGGGATAAATACAGATGTCACCGAACACAAAGACCAATCTTCACTTGCCAATATGCCTGTTGCCGTAAAGACGGAGGAAATCGTACGCCAGGAGGCACCTGTGGTACAATTTGCTCCTGCAGTATTTGCTCCTCAGATTGTGGACACTGCAGCCCAGATCAAACCAGATCAGAGTGAATCCAGCACCAATACCCAGCCCAAAAAGTTGAAAGATTCTACTTCACAAGTAATATTAGCCCAGACAAAAGAGTCTGTCGCACAAGTTGTACCTGATCAAAGTACGTCAAGTAGCAACACCAATTTCATTGAGCAAGTCGATTCTAATGTACAAGTAAAGCCAGCAGTGATGTCAACAATGTCAACCGTACGCCCTATCACGGCCACAATTGCGTCTCAAGTTGGTGTTGCGACTTCGACTTCATCAATGATGACTAAACCAAATGTAAAGGACACAAAGTCTTCACCCATTTTCTCAAGGAAACAGGATCAAGAAACTCTTGTGAATATTCCTGTGTTCAAGACTGAGGAGATAGTGAAGCAGGAAGCTCCCCTGGTTGAGTTTGCTCCCGTGTTCAAGCCAGAGTTTACAAACTCTGAGTCTCAGATTGAACCAGAACATACAGAGTCCAGCACAAATACCAAACAGCTTGAAGTAAAAGATTCTACATCTCTCACTGAAAGGACGCTAGTAACACAGTCGACTACCCAGATAAATGTCCTACAGGCACATTCCAGTAGTAATACTACTATTGTCAGTGTCAGAAACACTGCTGCTCAAATAGAAGGACCTAAAACGAGAGACCTGTCATCCCAAGTGAAGCCAGCTAGTGCCTCAGCAACTTCCATGGCATCGGTTTCAGGAAAAGACTTCACCGTCCAAATGGAAGAAACTGTTCCTGATATCATGGATGTTGGTTCTAATACTTCACATGTCCAAGTAGTAGATGGTGCCAGCAACACATCTCCGCTACCGAAGAGAGCCAACAGTGCTGCGCAAGTTTCAGCAATGACCTCCAACTGTGCCATGGGAACTACTTCACCTATACTCTCAAAGAAGCATGATCAATCATCACAGGCAAATATACCAGCTGTCGCGACTGAAGAAATCATTAAGAAGGAAGAACCCCCAGTTGAGTTTGCCCCCATTGTTTTCATGCCAGAGATTGCTGATATCGGCGCTCAAGTTGAACCAAATCAGATGGAATCTAGTACTAATACTGCTAAACTGAATTTGAAGGACACTTCGTCACAGATGGAAGGGAGAGTAGTCAAGGAATCAACCACTCAGGTTCACCAGTCCATGTCACACACAAGCAGTAACACACTAACTGTCAAGGTTACAGATACCATGACTCAACTTGAGAGGCTAGAAACACGAAACGTACAAGCACAAATTGCACCAACAACTGCATCCACAATATCATCTGTAAAACCAGAAACGGGTGATGCTACAACGTTTGCAGAAGTCGACGGTAAAGACTTTACTAACCAGGCCGTTATTGAAGAACCTTTGCCTGACAATATGGATACAGGTATAAATACAGACAATGTGCCTGTGAGGGATGGAGTGAGCAATACATCACCCTTGCCCAAACGTGCAAACATTGGATCTCAGATTGTCACCACTACGCAAGATGATACCACGTCGCCTATTCTTGTGAGGAAGTCTGACCAATCTACTCATGCAAATATACCCGATATCAAACATGAGGAAGTAGTCAAGCAAGAGGTTGTTCCGGTAGAATTTGCACCTGTCTTTGAACCACAGCTTGCAGATTCAGGATCACAGATTGAGCCTGATCAAATGGACTCAAGCTGTAACACAAAGGCTCCTACCATCAGAGATTCTACCTCTCAATTTGACAAGCTTAACACCGACGACTCTGCAGCCCAAGTCTTTCCAGCCACCGAAACATCATCGTCATCGGCAACTGTGAATGGAGTCGATTTCACCCAACAAGCTGAAATGGAAATGCCAGGTCCAGACAACAGAGATACGGGAATCAACACTGATGCTAAGAAAACTGCAAGTTTCACAGTTCAGGTAAAACCCACGTCTACAGCAGTGTCTGCAACAGCAAAGCCTACCCTGGACAACAGCTTTAGTAACACCGATCGTGTGGAGGTTGTAACACAACGGACACAGACAATACATGAACTGAAGACTAAAGAGTTGGGTATTAATGTCAAATCAACTGTGGATAATACTGATGCAGAAGTCCAAAATGCCCCAGGTAACACAGAAATCAGCACAGGTACACGTCAGTATCAATTCTCTAACTCTCTTACACAGTATGACATCACTTCCATCAACAGTTCTTCACAGATGACGATTCACAATACCAATGTTTCGACGATAGCACGGCCACCCATGAAGGAATCTAAGACGGACCCAAAAAGTATCAAAATGGCAAGTCAGCAAACTCAATATGAGCTTAGCTCTTCTGAGATTTCAATAAATACTGAAGTTGTTCAGAAGAAAGATCAGGCAAGCCAGGCTAACATCCCTACTCCCATCACAGAGGAGGTAGTCAAGGAAGATGCTCCGCAGGTTGAACTTCCGCCAGTAGTATTCCAAGTTGAGGTATATGATGTTGAAACGCAGACAACCTCTCAACTCAGAGAAAGTGGTACAAATACAACGGAGCTAAAGGTCAGTGATACAACTCTACAGGTGGCACCTATAACCACACAAACAAGTAGCAATACGATTTCTAAGGAAATTGCAGTTACCGCCGTTAATACCATGATGCCTCCAAAGACGATTGAAACAGCATCTCAGATGGCGGTTCGTACTGCATCAGCCGCAATGATGGCAAAACCAGTTATAAGGCATGTGAATACCACTACATCAACCCGGTACTTTAAGTCACAAGTTATTCAGCAAGAGAGATCAGTCAGCGATGCTATGGTCAATACTGAAGTGGTTCAGAGAACAGAGAAATCATGTGAAGCAAATATACCTACACCTGCCGAAGTCCTCCCAGAGCTCCAAGATGCCCAGGCTCAAATAGCTCCTGTAATATCTGAAAAATCTTCGAGCACACTTGTCAGGAATGTGACAAATAGCCAATCACAATGTGTAGTTCCACAAGCTTCTACATTCACAAACACGGCTAAACGACCGAGCACTAAGGAGTCTAAAGTCCAAATAAGACCAGATACTGACTACTCATCAGTTCATGCCTTTCCCGATGTTGGGGAAGCATCGATGTTGGCAGCTCCCATCGGACAGGACTTTACACAGCAAACGATTTTGGACGAGATAAGAGCTACTGCAACAAATACCATGCCAGCTCCTGAGCGTACCGAATCAACAGCTCAAGTGAATCCCACAGTCACATCAGTTTCTTCATTTGCGAGACCAACTGTTAAGTCTGAGTCAACCATTGCCAAGAGGACAGTGACGTATTCACACCAATCTCAAACAAAGGAAGTGAAGGAAGAACCGAAGACGGTTGTGAGGATGTCTACCACAGGAGCGCAGACTAATCCAGTAACTATTATTGATTTTGTTCCTGTGACAGTGGATTCTACTGTGCAATTTGAGACCCAGTACTACTTTTCTGAGGCGCCAGTGCAAGCCACGGTGCCAATACTTCATCAAGGCAGTCATACTGTGGTAGAAAGCCATTCAGAATCTTCGGCAACAATGCCATTGCCCACAGAACAAGTTTCAAGCCAGACTAAGGAATTGCCAATGCCTGAACCAGTGATAAAGATTGAGAAGAGCGAACCTGTCCTTCAGATGTTTCAACCACCTGTACCAGAGACACGAAGTTCAGTATCTCAAACATATGTGAAGAAAACTCAGGATTCATCACACGATCCTATTCTTAGGACAATGAAGGACGAACCATCCCAAGTGTCTCCCACTGTGTCCAAGAATGTGACTACTCAACACCAGCCAAAGACTGATACACACTTGCTACAGACGCAAATTAAGCAACTGGAAAAGATGACCACCGCTGCATTTGCAAAGGAAACAAGAGTGCAGGAATCGCAGTTTGTAACAGAAACCAGAGCTACTAGCTTCCAGACTTCATTAGATGTTTCAAATGCTACCACAGTAATAGATATCACAGAACAAGATAAAGCACAGCAGGCCTCCCCAAGGCTTACAGAAGGACACACTGTAATGCCTGAAGTTGAAAGTGCTAGTGCATCATCGCAACATGAACCGTCAACGACTGATTCTTTCATGCAGGCACAAATAAAGCAACTTGAGAAAATGACATTTGCAGAATACAAGAAGGAACTGAAGGAACTTGGTCTACAATGGTCATCTGAAGCAACCAGCACAAGTTCACAGTTTGCTCCCACGATGCGTGATGACTGTACTGATCCATCTGATGTAGCTTTGAAGAGCACTGAATGCCAGGCTAGCAATGATATGAATGAAAGATCTTCAATGACTGAAATGACACTAGAGGATATAGAAAGCTTGCTTGAAGCTGTGAAGAAGAACATCACCAATACAATCCGAGAAGAAATGGTTGTTCCAACACTTGCCAAACCAGATGAAATGGCTCTTGACTTTGATGTGGATACTGAAGATACGGGAATCCAGACACTGCTTGAAACGATATCTCGCAGTGCATCCCCCATTCTGCAAGAAATGAAAAACATGGCAATGCAGTACGAAAGAACATTTGAAATGAGGGACAAAGAGTTAACAGTCATTCCCGATACACTTGAACAGGCGATAAATACAGCTCGGGTGAAATTGGAATCAGTGTTGACTCAGCATGAAATAGCTTCCAAGCATGCTGCATTCCAGGCTCAATCGGATGTTTCCCAAGCATCCACGTGGACTCCACAGAAACAGTTCAAGGACCAAACTACACAAGAGACTATGAAGTATGTGATTGGGCAAGCACAGGTAGCACCTGCATCAGTTGAAAGAGGAATAATGCCCGAGAAACAGCAATTCGGGAAAGCGTCCACTCAAGCCTTCATGGAAGTGTCACCAAAATGGACTCAATATGATGTCGATAGGCCTACATCAGCTGTTCAGGCAGGAGTAGAAACGACTGATGGATGGTTCCAAACGAAAGAACCTAAGCAGCCTATCTTTGAGCCCATTCAGCAAGTACAGCAAAAAGAGGAACACTTCGAGTTTTATTTGCCTCCTGAATGTGTCAACGCTGAGATCCAAACAGACCCTGTTATCATCAAGTCTTTTGAGGATAAAGACGACATGGAGACTGAAACTGATGCAGATAGCGGCATTGAAATGGACATGCAAACCGATTCAGTTGTTGTAATGACGGAGGAAGAATATGAAGAGCTGATCTCAAGACCTAGCTCTGATGATAATGTCTCACAGACGCCAAACGTTCCGACTCAACCATTCACTCACCAATTTGCGACACCCAGTCATACTGAGCCTACACAAACACAGGTTTCGAAATTGACTTCAGGAAGCACAATGACAAAAGATACGGAATTCACACTCCAATCTACACAAACTGTTTCAACTGTATCTTCCAACATCAAGACTCAATATGAATCATCCATTGATGTGAAGAAAACGCAGACAAGTGTCCAACGCGCAGAAGGTTATACAGATATGATCCCAACTACCTTTGCAACGCAGCTACAACAGACAGATGAGACAAAGACAGCTAGCAAGACAATGCTTACTCAAGCTGTAAAGCATTTAGATCGTGACCTGCAGACTGTATCTGAAAAGGTAGAACATAGAGCTAGCTCTCCTTCCAACACACCTGGGATAAGTGAGGTGACACAGACGGGCATGGTGCACACATCAGAAAGTGGAACCCTTGCATCAAAGACGGAGTTGTCATATTCTGCATCACAGACTGACGTTTTAACAATGAGAAGCCGTGATATTCAATACATGTGGCTGGCGCTGATGTCGTGTCACAGACACACCTTTCCGAAATGACATCCTCGAGCACCAGCACGATGAAGAAAGATGTAACTCACTTTGTATCTCAGACGAAGGAGGCAGACGTGCATGATGCTTTATCAGCCACCGAGGTGGAAACATACCCAGCATCTGGTACACAAACGGACGAACAGCAATCTGAAATTCCTCAGGAAGTTATTCATCTCCAGTCCGTCGAACCAGTTTCCTATTCACCGGTTGAATTTCTGCCTCCGGTTGCACTGACTCCATTGACTGATTGTCAAACTCAGACAATGGAAAAGGATGAGATGTCATCAGCATACCAGACAGATACACAGGAAACATTGGACCGTGGTGAAGATGCATTAGAATCAGATGTTTCCAACGCTGGAATGATGGCCGTTGCAGAAACCACAGACACGCCAGCTCAGGATACAGTTAAAGTGGATATGGCACAAAGTCAGACAGGTGTAGAGGTGACAGACACAGGTTCGAGTCCCATATTCGCTCGAAAAGCTACTGAAGAAAAGAGTGTCCAGCAGCGAGTTGAAAATTCGACTTCTAGTGCCCAAACACTGCACAAGGAGTATCAAACTAAACTCACATCTACTGAAAAGATCACAAAAGATTTATCCATGCAGACTGAAATACCAATAGTGACTGTCATTGAGGAAGCTGTGAAGCCAGTTCAACTTGTACCTGAGCGTTCTATGCCAAATTTGGCTGCTCTTAAACCAAAGGTAGCCGAGTCATCATCACAGACAATGCAACTTGAGACATCTGATCGACAAGCAGCCACGAGTCCTGTAACGACATCCGAGCGTCAATCAGCAACCAGCCCTGTAACTATCTCTGAGAAAGGACTTCAGCATGACAGTTCACCCAAAACAGAAGAGAGATTCATGAGCACATTCCAAACAGCTCTCCTGGAAAGCGCTGATCAGACCAATCCTACCAAGATCGGGCATAGACATACCCAAGCTCAACCTCGATTAACGAATGTGCCTACTCAAGCTGGTGTCAAACCCAATCTGTCTAGTGCTGTTACACAAGCTAAACCACAGACATTCGAGGCAAAATTGCAGATCCTTCCATTCAAGGTCGAAACAAAGGATTCAAGCATCCAGCATGACACTGAACTAGCGGCAGTAAATGACTCTACATGTCAGACCGACTTTGAAGATATTCCATATGAAGAGATAATAGTAGTTTCGGAAGCCAAGGTCGAAAATGAACCATTCATTTTGGTGCAAGAAACAACTGATTTCACATGCCAGACTACAAGTGAGATAGAAGAGCATGCATTTAATACAGATCCCATCCAGTATAGAGATTTTTATGATCAAACTGTACTTACTTCGACGCCAAGATCATCCTCTCCTGTTCTTGCAGAGACTGTTCATCAGCCATCACAGACACCAGCACAACTGAGGACACCTACAAGGGATTCTACTAGCCAGCATAATGTGAAATCTAAGGAATCGTTGACCCAGACTGCATTGCAAACTATGATGAAAGCACTTTCTCCGATGTTACCCCGATCTGCTTCAAAGGAAGCGCAAACTCCAAAACAAGCAAAGGTGCCAGTCGATACCAAAGTAACCCAGTCTGCTCAAAGTCGACAGGAATATGCAAGTCAGTCCAACATCCCAGTTGCAGAACAAGGAACATCTACAGTACTACCAAAGGGAATAGGAATGGAGTCACAAACACCAAATGAGCCAGTAATACTCTCAGCAGAGGTGTTAACGCAGTATGAGACGTCTATGTCACATGCAGATAGTCAGACGGCAGTTGATGTGAACCAAAGACCTTCATCACCCGTTGAAACTCCTGCTGCTGATGCATCTGCCCAGTACGAGTTACTTGCACATGGCAAAGAATCCCAGACATTCATGGACTCCATTGCTAAGGCCATTTCACCTATGCTTCCTCGAGCAATGAGCAGAGCTTTGCAGACTCCTGGTGAACAACGCAAGAAAATGAAAAATGCTTCATCGCAACGTGAATTGCAGGTGAAAGCCATTGCCAGCCAACATGTTTCATCACATCAAGACAATGAAGCTCAGTATCTTGTTCTATCAGGGGATCAGTCATCGTCTCCCCTGCTGACTCCAAAACTAGATCACAGTTTGCAAACACCTCAACAAGATGTGGAACAAATTAGCACACAAATTGGCCAATCACGTCAAGACAACACATCTCAGTACGAACTCAAATGGAAAGACGCAGCAACAGAACGCATGCTTGGTGTTGTTGACAGTTCAACACATCACAAGGTTAAAATGGGAGATATTACTACTCAATCCAAAGTGGAGCAAGAAGCTTTTGACAGCCAGTATGAGGCCAATGTACATGACTCAGGAAATCAGACAGCCGTTATGAGTCCTATTGCAACGTCTACACTAACGCCACAATCTATGTCAATTGGTTCCCAAACTCCTACGGAAGAAAATGTTGTCATGACTCCGGTGGTGCAGGAGTTTGCCCCTGTTATGCCCCGCATTGTAACATTGGAATCGGACCCACCAAGAATCATGACCAGCACATCGACGCAATACGAGAGTAAGCCAACAATGCAGAAGGTGTCTTCTCCGATTATTTCCAGGACAAACGACAACGAGTCACAGACACCACCAAAAGGCATTCGTGAATCACATATCCAAACAAAGGTCGACACTGTTCCGAGAGCATCTTCACCAATTACAATTAAGCAAAATGATCATATCACGCAATACCAATCATCTGTGGCTCACATGTCCACTCAATTCAAAGCACATACTGAGAGATCAGATCTAGCTACACAGCATGAATTGAAATGGGGAGACAGAACGACTGAAATAGTAGTATCTTCGAAAGAAATAACTACTCAACATGAACTGTCACAAGGCGACACTGCTACAGATTATGATATGAAAATGGAAGAGAGATTTACTGAATACAACACGGCTTTGGCTGAATCTCCTTCACAAACAGCCTTGGAAATCCTTGACCAGGCTTCTTCTCCTCGTCTTCCTCGTGTATCAACTCAAGTTCAACAGACGCCTCCTGCTGTTGCGGTGCGGACGAAGACTACTGCTTCACAACATGTGTCCGATACCGAACAAAGTACAACCAGTACGAGATGTCACAACTTGACATTGCTGCGCAATATGAAAAGATGACGGAGGACAACGCAACTCAGTACGTTTTCACAGCAGCTCATTCTACTACTCAATACGAGAGGGCAGATAAGGACATTGAGACCCAGCATAAGACGACACAGGAAGATGTTAACACTCAAAGTGAGGTCGAAAATTCTCCATCTGGAATTCAAGCAGTCAATGAATTAAGCGTCCAAGCTTCGTCTCCAATCTTGACACGAGTCAACAACCAATTAGTTCAGACCCCTCTCCAAGCAGGAAAAATTAAGCGAACAATGTATACAGAGATTGAGGTAAAGGGTGATGACATGTCTACGCAGTATGAGAAGGCAACCCAAGAAAACACTACTCAATATGATATCAAACAAACAGACACTGACACTGCGTGTGAGCTGAAGACGAACGAAACAACAACACAGTCTGAAATGACAATGCACAGTACAGATACTCAAACACCTGGGTATCCTATTCCTGTTGAGGACGCTATTCTGCGAGAGATTGTTTCTCCCGTCCAGCATGCAGCACCACAAATGCCTTCACCTAAAACTGACAGTTCAAGTCAGTATGAAAGGAAGATGGTCAGTGCCATGATCCAATATGATCTAAAGATGCAGGAAAGTTCCATCCAGTACCAACTGAATGGCCAAGATGGAGCTTCCCAGTATGACATTCAACAGGAGGAATCTACAACACAAGCTGTCATAGAGAACCAGCTGTTTACCAGCCAGACCGAACTTGAGACTCAACAGCAAGCTTCATCTCCAATCCTTCGTCGTGTTACCAGTCAGGCACTTCAGACTCCTCAACCCAAAGGAATCCAGAAGAGCGATGGGTTGACACAATATGAACTCAAACGGGATGACATGTCAACCCAGTCTGAAGTAAAGAAAGAAGATTCTACAAGCCAACATGTATTCAAACAAGATGACAAAGTGACACACTATGATATTGTTGGAAAGAAGGTTCCACTCAGTACGAGAAGAAGGATGGAGACATGTCAACGCAACATGTCGTGAAGGGGCAAGATATCACTACTCAATCTGGAGTTGCTCTTCAAGAAACTATGACTCAACATGAAGCAATCTTGAAGGATACACCCACCCAACATGGAGCTGACATGAAAGACTCTCTATCGCAAAGTCATATCAAACAAACTGACAATAACACTGCGTATGAGCTGAAGATGACTGAAACAACAACACAGTCTGAAATGAAAATGCACAGTATTGATACTCAAACACCTGGGTATCCTATTCCTATTGAGGACGCTATTCTGCGAGAGATCGTTTCTCCTGTCCAGTATGCAGCACCACAAATGCCATCACCTAAATCTGACAGTACAACCCAGTACGAGATTTCACAACTTGACATAGCTGCGCAATATGAAAAGATGACGGAGGACAACGCAACTCAGTACGTTTTCACAGCAGCTCATTCTACTACTCAATACGAGAGGGCAGATAAGGACATTGAGACCCAGCATAAGACGACACAGGAAGATGTTAACACTCAAAGTGAGGTCGAAAATTCTCCATCTGGAATTCAAGCAGTCAACGAAGTAAGCGTCCAAGCTTCATCTCCAATCTTGACACGAGTTAACAACCAATTAATTCAGACCTCTCTCCAAGCAGGAAAAATTAAGCGAACAATGTATACAGAGATTGAGGTAAAGGGTGATGACATGTCTACGCAGTATGAGAAGGCAACCCAAGAAAGCACTACTCAACATGATATCAAACAAACAGACACTGACACTGTGTATGAGCTGAAGACGAACGAAACAACAACACAGTCTGAAATGACAATGCACAGTACAGATACTCAAACACCTGGATATCCTATTCCTGTTGAGGACGCTATTCTGCGAGAGATTGTTTCTCCCGTCCAGCATGCAGCACCACAAATGCCATCACCTAAAACTGACAGTTCAAGTCAGTATGAAAGGAACATGGTCAGTGCTATGATCCAATATGATCTAAAGATGCAGGAAAGTTCCATCCAGTACCAACTGAATGGCCAAGATGGAGCTTCCCAGTATGACATTCAACAGGAGGAATCTACAACACAAGCTGTCATAGAGAACCAGCTGTTTACCAGCCAGACCGAACTTGAGACTCAACAGCAAGCTTCATCTCCAATCCTTCGTCGTGTTACCAGTCAGGCACTTCAGACTCCTCAACCCAAAGGAATCCAGAAGAGCGATGGGTTGACACAATACGAACTTAAACGGGATGACATGTCTACCCAGTCTGAAGTAAAGAAAGAAGATTCTACAAGCCAACATGTATTCAAACAAGATGACAAAGTGACACACTATGATATTGTCGGGAAAGAAGGTTCCACTCAGTATGAAAAGAAGGATGGAGACATGTCAACGCAACACATCGTGAAGGGGCAAGATATCACTACTCAATCTGGAGTTGCTCTTCAAGAAACTATGACTCAACATGAAGCAATCTTGAAGGATACACCCACCCAACATGGAGCGGACATGAAAGACACTCCATCGCAAAGTGGTATCAAGATCTCGCATATGGCAGCGTCTCCTATTCTTCGAACAAAATCAAGCCAGATTATGCAAACACCACATAGCTTGAAGGATGGGGAGAGTCAATATGAGAGAAGTACAATTGACAGAACAAGTCAACATGACAGATCGGGTGAAAGTACAGCCACTCAATATGATATGAGAGGTAGTGAGAATACAACTCAATACCAGAAGGATGTCCAAGATGTTCTTACAGAATATGTGATGGACCGACAAGACAGAGAAACACAGCATGAGATTGAGAGTCAGTTATTTGCAAATCAAACTGAATATGAGTCTCAACAACAAGCCACATCGCCGATCCTTCGTCGTGTCCTCAGTCAGGCACTTCAGACGCCTAAGCCAACAGGAGTTCAGAAGAGCGATGGGATGACACAGTACGAGCTTAAGCAGGATGATTCATCATCACAATTTGTGATAACTGCTGCTTCTATCCCTACTCAATATGAGACTCCGACAGCTGATGGAACTACACAGTATATAAGTCAATTTGGAGAGAGGTCAACCCAATACGACACAAAGAAAACTGACACTATGACGCAGCACCGAGGAAGTCAACAGGATGCATCAAGTCAGCATGAAAGGCCTGTTACTGATGGAACAAGTCAGTATGTCAGAACATTCGAGAGTGCTACAACCCAATACGATATCAGAGGCATTGACAGTACATCTCAGTATCTGACAGAGGTACAAGATGGTACTACAGAGTATCTCTTAGATCAGCAAGAAATCCATACGCAGCATCAAATAGATAATCAGTTATTTGCAAGCCAGACAGTGTTTGAGAGACAGCAACAAGCCTCCTCTCCGATCCTTCACCGTGTCACAAGTCAGGCAATGCAGACCAAGTATGAGAAGGCAACCCAAGAAAGCAACACACAGTATGAACTCAAACAAACAGACACTGACACGTTGTATGAGCTGAAGACGAACGAAACAACAACACAGTATGAAATGACAATGCACAGTACTGATACTCAGACACCTGGATATCCTATTCCTGTTGAAGATGCTATTCTGCGAGAGATCGTTTCTCCCGTCCAGCATGCAGCACCACAAATGCCTTCACCTAAAACTGACAGTTCAAGTCAGTATGAAAGGAACATGGTCAGTGCCATGATCCAATATGATCTAAAGATGCAGGAAAGTTCCATCCAACACCAACTGAATGGGCAAGATGGAGCTACACAGTATAACATTCAACAGGAGGAATCTACAACACAAGCTGTCATAGAGAACCAGCTGTTTACCAGCCAGACCGAACTTGAGACTCAACAGCAAGCTTCATCTCCAATCCTTCATCGTGTTACCAGTCAGGCACTTCAGACTCCTCAACCCAAAGGAATCCAGAAGAGTGATGGGTTGACACAATACGAACTTAAACGGGATGACATGTCAACCCAGTCTGAAGTAAAGAAAGAAGATTCTACAAGCCAACATGTATTCAAACAAGATGACAAAGTTACACACTATGATATTGTCGGGCAAGAAGGTTCCACACAGTACGAAAAGAAAGATGGAGACGTGTCAACGCAACATGTCATGAAGGGGCAAGATATCACAACTCAATCTGGAGTTGCCCTTCAAGAAACTACAACTCAACATGAAGCAACCTTGAAGGATACACCCACCCAACATAGAGTGGACATGAAAGACTCTCCATCACAAAGTGGTATCAAGATCTCGCATATGGCGGCGTCTCCTATTCTTCGAGCAAAATCAAGCCAGATTATGCAAACACCACATAGCTTGAAGGATGGGGAGAGTCAATATGAGAGTAGAACAATTGACGGAACAAGTCAATATGACAGATCGGGTGAAAGTACAGCCACTCAATATGATATGAGAGGTAGTGAGAATACAACTCAATACCAGAAGGATGTCCAAGATGTTCTTACAGAATATGTGATGGACCGACAAGACAGAGAAACACAGCATGAGATTGAGAGTCAGTTATTTGCAAATCAAACTGAATTTGAGTCTCAACAACAAGCCTCATCGCCGATCCTTCGTCGTGTCCTCAGTCAGGCACTTCAGACGCCTAAGCCAACAGGAGTTCAGAAGAGCGATGGGTTGACACAGTACGAGCTTAAGCAGGATGACTCATCATCACAATTCGTGATAACTGCTGCTTCTGTCCCTACTCAATATGAGACTCCGACAGCTGATGGAACTACACAGTATATAAGTCAATTTGGAGAGAGGTCAACCCAATACGACGCAAAGAAAACTGACACTATGACGCAGCACCAAGGAAGTCAACAGGATGCATCAAGTCAGCATGAAAGGCCTGTTACTGATGGAACAAGTCAGTATGTCAGAACATGCGAGAGTGCTTCAACCCAATACGATATCGGAGGCATTGACAGTACATCTCAGTATCTGACGGAGGTACAAGATGGTACTACAGAGTATCTGTTTGAGAGACAGCAACAAGCCTCCTCTCCGATCCTTCACCGTGTCACAAGTCAGGCAATGCAGACCAAGTATGAGAAGGCAACCCAAGAAAGCAACACACAGTATGAACTCAAACAAACAGACACTGACACAGTGTACGAGCTGAAGACAAACGAAACAACAACACAGTATGAAATGACAATGCACAGTTCAGATACTCAGACACCCGGATATCCTATTCCTGTTGAAGATGCTATTCTGCGCGAAGTTGTTTCTCCTGTCCAGTATGCAGCACCACAAATGCCATCACCTAAAACTGACAGTTCAAGTCAGTACATAAGGAAGATGGACAGTACTATGATCCAATATGATCTAAAGATGCAGGAAAGTTCAATCCAACACCAAACGAATGAGCAAGATGGAGCTACACAGTATGACATTCTACATCAAGACATTACAACGCAGTCTATTGCAGAAAACCAGCTGTTTGCCAGTCAAACTGAACTTGAGACACAACAGCAAGCTTCATCTCCAATCCTTCGTCGTGTTACCAGCCTGGCACTTCAGACTCCTAAACCTACAGGAGTTCAGAAGAGCGATGGATTGACACAGTACGAGCTTAAACAGGGTGATTCATCCTCACAGTTCGTTCCACAGCAGAAAGATGGTTCTTCCCAGTTTGTGCTCTCTGCTGCTTCTGTCCCAACTCAATACCAGACTTCAACAGTTGATAGCACTTCACAGTATGTAAGGCAAGATGGAGACAGGTCAACCCAATACGACCAAAAGAAGACGGATACTGTAATCCAGTACGAGAGTCACCAACAGGATGGAACATGTCAGCATGAAATGGCTGTTACTGATGCCAGTAGTCAACATGACAGAATAGGCGAGAGTGCTATGTCCCAGTATGATTTCAAGGGTATTGATAGTACAACTCAGTACCAGAGAGATGTACAAGACGGTAAAACAGAATATGTCAAGGACCAACAAGAGAGAACAACTCAGCATGAGGTGAAGAGTGAGATGTTTGAAAGTCAAACTGTTTATGACACACAGCAACAAGCTTCATCTCCTATTCTTCGTCGTGTCACCAGTCAGGCACTCCAAACTCCTAAGACCACAGAAGTCCAGAAGAATGATGGGTTGACACAATATGAACTTAAACATGATGACGTGTCCACCCAGCTTGGAGTCCAAACATTAGAGTCAACAAGCCAATACATGCAGGAGCAAAAACATGCTGTGACACACTATGATATTGTCGGGCAAGAAGGTTCCACACAGTACGAGAAGAAGGATGAAGACATGTCAACGCAACATGATGTGAAGGGACAGGACACCACAACTCAATCTAGAGTTGCCCTTCAAGAAACTACGACTCAACATGAATCAATCTTGAAGGATACACCTACGCAACATGGAGCTGATATGATAGACGTTCCAACACAGTCATTAATAGAAAACCAGCTTTTTGCCAGCCAGACCGAACTTGAGACACAGCAGCAAGCTTCATCTCCAATCCTTCGTCGTGTCACCAGTCAGGCACTCCAGACTCCTAAGCCTACAGAAATCCAGAAGAACGATGGGTTGACACAATATGAACTTAAAAATGATGACGTGTCCACCCAGCTTGGAGTCAAGACAGAAGAGTCAACAAGTCAATGCGTACAGGAACAAGAACACGCTGAGACGCACTACGAAAACATTGGGCAAGAGATTTCGACACAATATGAGAAGAAGGATGAAGATGTGTCAACGCAACATGATGTGAAGGGACAGGATATCACAACTCAATCAAGAGTCACCCTTCAAGAAGCAGACACTCAACATGAAGCAATCTTGAAGGATACACCCACCCAGCATGGAGCGGACATGAAAGACGCACTAACACAAAAAGATGTCAAGATCTCGCATACGGCAGCGTCTCCTATTCTTCGAGCAAAATCAAGCCAGATTATGCAAACACCACATAGCTTGAAGGATGGGGAGAGTCAATATGAGAGTAGTACAATTGATGGAACAAGTCAATATGATAGAACAGGTGAAAGTTCAGTGACTCAATATGATATCACAGGTGTAGAAGGTGCAACACAGTATCAACGAAATGTACAGGATGGTGTAACAGAATATGTGACAGAACGAGAGGAAAAGCCAACCCAATATGAAATAGAGAACCAATTATTTGCAAGCCAGACCGAACTTAAGACTCAGACTCAATCTTCCTCTCCGATCCTTCGCCGTATCAACAGTCAGGCACTTCAGACGCCTAAACCCACTGGAGTTCAGAAGAGTGATGGATTGACACAGTACGAGGTTAAGCAGGGCGATTCATCATCACAGTTTGTTCCGCAGCAGAAAGATGGTTCTTCCCAGTTTGTGCTCTCTGCTGTTTCTGCTCCAACCCAATATGAGAGTTCAACAATTGATGCGAATTCTCAGTATGGAAAGCAAGATGAACACAGGTCAACACAGCATGACCAGACGAAGGCAGATACTATGACGCAGTACGAGATCCATCAACAAGATGGATCAAGCCAGCATGAGAGGGTTGTCACTGAAGGAACTAGTCAATATGATAGAATAGGTGAAAGTGCTGAGACCCAGTACGATATCAAGGTATTGACAGTACATCCCAGCACCAGAGAGAGGTACAAGACGGTGTTACCGAATATGTCAAAGACCAACAAGAGAGGCCCACTCAGTACGAGTTAGAAAGTCAGTTATTTGCAAGTCAAACTGATTACGAGAGACAACAACAAGCTTCCTCTCCTATCCTCCGTCGTGTAACCAGTCAGGCACTTCAGACCAAATATGAGAAGTCAACCCAAGAAAGAACCACTCAGTATGAACTCGAAAAAACGGACAGTAACACAGGATACCAACTGAAGATTGGTGAGACAACAACACAGTATGAAGTAAAAATGCACAGTGCTGATACTCAAACACCTGATTATCCCATTCCTGTTGAAGACGCTATTCTTCGAGAGATTGTTTCTCCTGTCCAGTATGCAGCACCACAATTGCCATCACCTAAAACAGACAGTTCAAGTCAGTACGAAAGGAAAATGGACAGTAGCATGAACCAATATGATCTCAAAGGCATGGAAACTGCTACCCAGCACCAGATGAATGAGCAAGATGGGGCTACACAGTATGACCTTCTACAACAATCTATTACAACGCAGTCCTTGATTGAAAACCAGCTGTGTGCCAGCCAGACCGAACTCAAGACTCAACAGCAAGCTTCATCTCCTATCCTTCGTCGTGTTACCAGTCAGGCACTTCAGACTCCTCAACCCAAAGGAATCCAGAAGAGCGATGGATTAACACAATACGAGCTAAAACAGGATGAAGCGTCCACCCAGTTTGGAGTAAAGAAAGAAGATTCAACCAGTCAGCATGTATTCGTACAAGATGATAAGGTGACTCACTATGACATTGTCGGGCAAGAAGGTTCCACACAGTTTGAGAAGAACGATGGAGAAATGTCAACACAACATGACCTGATGGTACAAGATATCACAACTCAATCTGCAGTTGTACTTCAAGATACTACGACTCAACATGAATCAATTTTGAAGGATACACCGACCCAACAGGGAACTGAAGTGAAAGACATTACAACACAATCTGTAATAGAAAACCAGCTATTTACCAGCCAGACAGACCTGGAGACTCAGCAACAAGCTTCCTCCCCCATCCTTCGTCGTGTCACTAGTCAAGCTCTTCAGACTCCTAAACCAACAGGAGTCCAGATGAGTGACGGATTGACTCAATACGAACTAAAACAAGGGGATGCATCCTCACAGTCTGAACTAAAGCAGGTAGAGAATTCAAGTCAGTATGCAACAAGCTCTTCACATGTCCCGACACAGTATGACATCGTAGGTCAACATGGTATGACGCAGTACGAGCTGAAGTCAGAAGAAAAACCAACTCAGTACGATAGTCTACTTAAAGACCTTCCAATACAGACCTCAACTGAAGGGAAAGATCAAATGTCATCCCCCATTCTTCCCAGAGTTACCAATCAAGTATTGCAAACGCCCAAACAAGCTATTGCACCGTTTTCATCGCAGCATGATGTCAGGACACAAGACAACACAACACAGTATGTCTTTAAGTCGACGGAAGGTACCACTCAAGTTCCAACAATTGCAAAGAATGACCAAATTTCTCAAACACAAGCAGGGAAACCGTTAAGTACAAGTAATATCATTACCCAATATGAACCAAGAACATCTGATAGCTCATGTCAACATGATATGCTAACCGTCAAGGAAGGAGTGTCCCAGCATGACCTCCTCCAAAAGGAAGGTGCAACCCAGTATGATTTAACAAAGCAAAGCTCGGATTCACAAACTTTCTTCAAGACGTCCGATGCAGGTACACTTGCGACCCCTGTACAACCAATATTCTCGTCTCAAATTACACAGACTGCTTCTGAGCCTGGCATAATAGTGGCTGCACTTTCGACACAGACAGATGAACCCGAAGTAACGGCAACTCGCCATGTGGCTGCATTCACAGAAAGAAAGCTGAAGGATGGAGTAACACAGATTGCCAAGAAAGAGAAAGACAGCGTCACCCAATACGATGTGAAGGGAGCTGACAGTCAAACACAATCCGAACAGACACTCCATGAAAATGCTTCACAATCTGAAGTCAAGAGTATTCCCCAAGGATCATCTCCCATTCTTCCACGTTCAACGAGTCAAGCTTTGCAGGCGTCCATCCCTCAAGTCTCTAAGAGTGATATTACAACTCACATCCAGTATAATCTGCAAAATGCAGGCACTGGATATGACAGGAAGGATCAAGACAGTGCCACACAGCATGACATTGTAAGAGGAGATAGTGTTACTCAATATGAGTTGAGTATGAAAGACGCAGAATCTCAGTTGGGGGTTGAATCTATTGACCAGACATCATCACCTGTTCTACGACGAGCTAATGACATGCCGAGTCAAACGCCTAGTGAAAAGATTCTCAAAACAAGAGACGATCCAACACAAACAGAACTCAAGCAAAATGATTCACCAATCCAAGCAAGTGTGAATACTACTCAGCAGTCATTGTCACCTCTTCTCCCAAGAGTAGCTCACCAACTTCAACAGACTGCCCAGCCTAAGGGTGTTGCAAAGACAGACAGTTCAACTCAGTTGTCGAAAATGATGGCAAGCGTTCCAACTCAGTCACTGAGAATGGAAAAGGTGGAATCAACGCAGTACAAAGTAACTGCTGAAGCTGTTAGCACGCAGTATGAATCAAAGGTTGATCATACTACAACCCAATATGAAGGAGGTCAAATGGAAGCACACTCACAATCACACTTTGAAACAGAAGAGAAAGGAACAACCCCTGCCATTCAATCAGAACACAAGAATATTTCACCAGCTCTGCAACAGGTGACTGATATCACTACTCAATATGAGAGCATCTTGCTTGAATCGACAACTCAATGTAAGATCAGTCAAAAGAATCAAGCCTCATTTACTGCCATCAGCGAGACATCGGATCAAGTACTTCAAACGGTTGAGCAAGAGAGGCCAGCACAATTAAGTACTACATCGCAGTATGAAGGCTCAAGTCATGATGATGTTACTCAATATGAGGCCAGTGTAGTTGAAAGGACAACCCAATTTGCACAGGAGCTTAAAGACACCATGACACAGTTTATGATGATGTATGGTGACAGTCAATCTCAGACAACCGTTTCAAGTTCTGATCAAGCTACATCACCAGTACCTGCCTTGACTGACAACAGTACTGCACAAACGATGGAAGAAAAGAAGGTTTTGACTTCAGAAGTCATGACGCAACATGAAGTGAAGCTGTTGAATCTCATGATTCAAACTTTGGAAGATAAAATCTCGACTATCGATTCTAACACTCAGTATGAACGACGGTCGCATGAGAAGATAACTCAACATGAGATGCAACAGTTGGATACCTCGACACAACATCAGCTGAAACAACACGATTTTGACGTACAAACAAAGTTGAGTTTGGGACATCAAGCAACATCCCCTCTTCTATCAAGACACCAGAGTCAATTGCTGCAAACCCCTGTAATCGACACCTCTGCAATACACGTTGTGTCTCAAACCGAGTTAAAACGTCAAGAGACAACAACACAGATGGAAATATCTCTTGGAGAAGGATCAACGCAGTATGAAACGAAGCAGACAGATTCTGTGAGCCAAACATTCTCCAAAAATCTTAACCAGAGCTCTTCTCCCATCCTATCACGTGCAAAGACCAGTGGATCTCAAACAGCACAGGAAGAACCAGTCATGACAACTCAAACAGAAGAGAAAGGAACAACCCCTGCCATTCAAACGGCCTCTGATCAAGCTCATCAGACATTCCAGTCTGTTGCCGATGTTTCATCTCAGCATGTATTGAAGATAAACGTCACTGCCACTCAACATGAAGTGATTGAGAAGAGTGAAACCAGTCAATATGCAATATATGGGGATGAGGCGACAACTCAGTACGAATTATCTCTTGCACATGCACAATCTCAGTCCTTCACGTTGGATGATGAGAAAAGTACATCTACAACTATACCTGACTTCAATAACCAGTATATGCAAACCATGGAGAGAAAGGAGGTACCAAAGACTGAATCATCAACCCAATACATCGTGAAAGGTCAGGAATCGACGACTCAGGCAGAGACCAGAATTCAGCATGACTCTACACAATACGAAGGCGACCAAATGGATCACACGACACAGTATGGACCTAGTGTCAAGGATGGATCTGTCCAGCATGGAGTGAAACTTCAAGATGCACATTCTCATATTGAGGTAGGATTTAAGGACGAAGCAACATCATCTACTCATCCTACATTCATGGAGCAAGTTTCTCAAACAATCTCTGATGTGAGATTAACTGCAGAATCATCATCACAGTACTTCCTCACGCAGAAAGCTTCACACACGCAAGTAGATGTACAGGAAAGAGATGGCGTCAGTCAGTATGATCTCAAGCAGGAAGAGAGTATGACACAATATGTGGAGAATCTACAAGATGCACATGCTCAATCGACGGTTGAAGTCGGAGATGTTACAACTTCAACTCTAGATGTGAGCCATGCCCATCAAAGTTTGCAGACTGCTAAACGGTCGATGATTGAAACTACATCTCAGTATGAACAGGAATTGCTAAGTTCAACTACCCAATCTGAGAGGGAGGACCGAGAGATATCGTGCCAGCATGAGCAAATCGGTGAAGACAGTTCAACCCAACATGACCGAGATACTATGGAGAGTACGACACAGTATGAAGCAAATCAACATGATGCTTTGTCACAAAGTTTCGTTGACATCGAACACAAGGCTTCATCCCCGAAACTTCAGCGTCTTGCAACTCAACACTTACAGACACTTCCTTCCGGTAGTGACACTGGAACGCAGTCCCAAGTGAGTGCAGAGGGAATCACAACACAGTACGAGAAAGATGAGCAGGAGAGTGCAAGTCAGCATGAAATTCACCAGGTGGAGAGCACCACGCAGCATGAGCTGAAACAACTTAATGCCCAGTCCCAGTACGCTCTTGAATCCACTAGCAAGTCAACATCTTCAATCTCAATCAACTTATCTAACATGGCCATGCAAACAGCCCAACACGAAGGTCAAACAGGAACACAATATGAGCTTTCTACTAATGAAAGCTCTTCGCAACATGTTAGCAATCAACAAGACGCTTCCTCTCAGCAAATAGTTCAATCTGAACACAAGACTATTTCATCAGCTTTGCAACAGGTGACCGATATCACCACTCAATATGAGAGCATCTTGCTTGAATCAACAACTCAATGTAAGATCAGTCAAAAGAATCAAGCCTCATTTACTGCCATCAGCGAGACATCTGATCAAGTACTTCAAACAGTTGAGCAAGAGAGGCCAGCACAATTAAGTACTACGTCACAGTATGAAGGCTCAAGTCAAGACAATGTTACTCAATATGAGGCCAGTGTAGTTGAAAGGACAACCCAACTTGCACAGGAGCTTAAAGACACCATGACACAGTATATGATGGCGTATGGTGACAGTCAATCACAGACAACTGTTTCAAGTTCTGATCAAGCTACATCACCAGTACCTGCCTTGACTGACAACAGTACTGCACAAACGATGGAAGAAAAGAAGGTTTTGACTTCAGAAGTCACGACACAACATGAAGTGAAGCTGTTGAATCTCATGATTCAAACTTTGGAAGATAAAATCTCGACTATCGATTCTAACACTCAGTATGAACGACGGTCGCATGAGAAGATAACTCAACATGAGATGCAACAGTTGGATACCTCGACGCAACATCTGCTGAAACAACACGATTTTGACGGACAAACAAAGTTGAGTTTGGGACACCAAGCAACATCCCCTCTTCTATCAAGACACCAGAGTCAATTGCTGCAAACCCCTGTAATCAAAACCTCTTCAATACACGTTGTGTCTCAAACTGAATTAAAACGTCAAGAGACAACAACACAGATGGAAATATCTCTTGGAGAAGGATCAACGCAGTATGAAACAAAACAGACAGATTCTGTGAGCCAGACATTCTCCAAAAATCTTAACCAGAGCTCTTCTCCCATTCTATCACGTGCGAAGACCAGTGGAACTCAACCAGCACAGGAAGTTAAGATGCACATGACAACTCAATTCGAAACGAAGGCAGGTGAGTCACAGACTCAAACACAACAACACGTTGTTCATCAGACTTCCCAGATTCTCCCTGAGGCATCTCATAAAGATTCACAGACACCCAAGGCAGAACCCAAGATTGAGAAGATAAGTCAGGCCGAGGTAAACCTTACTGAGATGCAAATGCAAACTACACCGAATACATCGCAGAAGGCATCTTCACCAGTTCTAAATCGGGCCGTCAATAAGGATGCTCAAACCCCGGTGAAGGATGTGATTCCCAAGGCTTCTCAGATTATCAGGTCCTCTCGAGATTCAACAACACAGGCTTTTACAGAATCAAAAACTTCTGAACGTGGAACAGAAGTACTCCGCATTCAGCTAAGAACTGGTTCCACACAGGCCAACCTGCAAAAACCTGTTACCTCACACTCTGCAGTCCAGGCTAAAAAGACTGAAGTCATGGACAAGATGTTGGTAGTGACACCAAGTACTGTGGATCACTCCACGCCAGCACGTGTCACAAAATACTCAACAAAACCCACTCAAGCTGACATCAAAGTTACCTCTAAGGCCAATGAAGCACAAACATCTCATGTGGTAAGAAGTGCAACAACAACTACGGAAAAGACTGCCGTGATGAGTGCTATTTCTCAAACTGAAGTTTCCAAAATGGCAAAAGAGGTGGTCACTCAAGAAATCAGATTAGTAGAACGATCTGCCCTTACAATGCCTGAAATCAAACCTTCTGTATTTGAAACATCTACACAACACGATGTTGATGTGCAAATGGTTGATAGTGCTTCAGCAACAAGCCCAATTACTCACGAAGGAAGTACTTTTACAACGCCATGCACGGCATTGGAACAATCTTGCCAGACAGACGTCCATGTAGAGGAAGAGGAATTCATCGAAATTGTGTCGCAATCGGAAGAGATTGCACCAATCACTTTCCGAGAAGCAAAACATGCTGACGGTTCAACTGAAACTGAACACTATGACCTTAATGAAAGAGCAGTATCTCCATTCTCTGATGATCTAAACGATGTACCATCACAAACAAATGTAGAGATGGAGTCAGTTGCGGTGCAGTTTGATGAGCCAGACTTTGGTCCCTTGTATGTGAATACAGTTAGCTACGTGCAAGATGGCCGAGAAAGACACACAGAAACAATCTTTGAAAAAGCTGTGGAAGCTCCTGCACAGACGGAATCGGTTCTCATGGATGCCCAGCAGCAAACCCTCCCTGATACTGAAGATGGATTTACAGAGACGGTAGCAATGGGTATTGACTTTGGAGAGCAGACCCAACCTCTTACCATTGATCAAGCTACAGTAATGCACTCAGGACAAATGGTGTCCAGTGAGGTACAAGTCCAAATGGGACAGCCCTCAACACCAATGAGAGATACCGGATCACAGCATGCATCAAGACCTGTGGATAGTTTTGCACAGGTCGACGCATTGACGGTTGATGAAGGAATGTCCACCATCACGGTTGTCAAATCTACAACAAGTGCTCAGTATAGTCCCCCTGGTTCTGCACATACTTCGCCTAAACAACAACGAAAGACCATGGCTAATGCAGAAACTAGTACTTCTGTTAAGTACCGACAGACGACAGATACGCAGACATCAAAACCGCTTCAGTATAATCTGTCAACTCAATTCCGCCCGACCACGAAAAGCCAGGAATCACTTGCCAAGATTATACCAGAGAGCGCAGACATGGGTATGGTTACCAAACCACTGTCTGCTGATGCAGATTCTCAGGCAAGAGTGGACCAAAGTTCAAACTCAGCACAATGTGATACAAAGGTAGCAGATACACAGAGTCAATACGAACATCAAGATGCTGCTGATATGTCGGTCCAAGTTATGCCAACATGTGCAGATTTGGGCAATTCACCAATTTTCAAACGGAGAGAGCATGTTGTTTCTTCGACACAGACAGACCCAATGTTTGCAGATTTTAGCGATGAGTTTGAAGATGGAGAATTCCTTGATACACAGTCTGACCGTATCTCGCTAGAGGAATTCACTTGGGACACATTTGTTGACAATCTGCAAGAGACTTTAGATGGACCAGTTGTTTCCTCGTATGAAGCACCAATCCAGCAGATCAATGTCATTCAAGATTTTGCTGAAATGCCAAGAGCTTGGGGAGTCGATGCTTCTGCACAAATTCACCCAACCCTACTTGATAGAGGCATAGGAACAACAGGTGCGTGGAGGCATGATCGTGGCAGTCAAATTCATCAAGTCCATGCCACTCATTCGACTCAAAGCGATATTACAACCAGAGTGTTCAATAATTCATCTACTCAACATGCAGTTGATGTGCAGGATAATTCTTTGCAGCACGATACAGTGGTTCCATCTTCCGACAGAGCAAACTCTCCGATCTCAACAGAGGGTAGAGATGCTCAGTCACAGAGCAAACCAACTACATCAGACGGGAGCACAATGATAACTCATTACGAAGGGAAAGATTTCACAATCCAGACCACTCCTTGGACAACTGACATGGCAAGCTCTCCTGTGTTTAAACGAAGGTCAGAGAATGCTGTTGCCCAGATTGCTCCAGATACCTCTGATGGTGGTACATCTATGACCGCAGTACCTTATGCTGATAGTAAATTCCAGACCGATCAGGAATCATTGGATATGTCATCTCAGTACATCACTACGCATACTGACCGCTCGTCTTCGCCTATTGAGGTTTCTTCAAACAATGCCAGTACTCATATTGGATCTCTCTTAACGGATACCAGCACCTACATGCCTGCCTTGGATTCGAAGGATCTACCAACTCAGACATCTACCAGCACATCAGAAGGCTCTGTCCAATTCCAGATCTTGACATCTGAGCGTGTTACTGAAATTGTTCCAGCTCCTGGAAGAGATATCGACTTACAAGCTTCAGTCAGAAAATCTGACAGCATCTCACAATATCGGGAGGTCAAAACTTGTGACACCGCCTCTTCACCAATAGTTGTCAGAAAAGTAACTTCTGAAGAGAGCACAATGATGGCACAGATTCATGCTAAGGATTTCCATACCCAAGTGACACCACTAACATCAGAGGGCACTTCTCAATATCCTTCAACTGTCACATCTGATAAAATCAGTTCACCTGTAATGCAAAAGAAGTTAACATCTGAACACAGTTCTCAGTACCCCAAAACTGTGACAACGGACAAGGTTATATCTCCTGTCTTCACAAGGAAGGTCGCAATAGATGAAAGTACTATGATGATACCGGCCGAATCAAAGGACGGTTTCGCTCAGGTATCACCTGTGAGAATCGAGGGAGCATCACAACCTATGACGAAGACGTTTGCAGACACTCAAAGTTCTCCAATATTACAGAGGAAGATTGGCACTATAGAAGAAGGTACAATGCCACCACCACCACAACATGGAAAAGATTTTACGACGCAGGTTGCACCAGTGCAAGAAGATATTCTTACTCAGTCCGATGCTGTCAAGAACGCGGACGCAAATGCACAGGTGAAGCCTGAAACATTGGATGGAGGCACATTTATGACAAAGGTGTCGTTGGCTGATGGGTCTGTTCAGATTCAGCCAGATATCCGGGACCAATCATCCCAGTTGTTGATACCCTCAGAGAATAGATCAGTCACGACAATACCACCAATGAGCTCAAACGTGGAGTCGCAAATTCAAAAGGAACTCGTTGATGGAAATACATTCATGATCCAACGAGAAGCGAGAGATTCAATGGCCCAGTTTGCCCCTACTGTTACAGATAACTCATCCCAGTACGTAGAATCTCCCAAAGCTGACAAGCTTAGTTCACCAATTCTTACAAGGAAGGAAGTGTCTGATGAAAGCACATCAATGAGGCCAAAAGAAGACAAAGATTTGGGTATTCAGATGACCCCAACCTCAACTGAAAAAGTAAGCTCGCCTATTCTGCAGCGGAAGGTTGCTATAGATGAAAGCACAACGATGGATTTGGCTGAGTCAAAGGATGTGGTAATGCAAGCAACTCCAGTTACAACAGATTCCGTTTCACAATCTCTAAAGAGTTCTACGACCGATCAGCTCAGTTCCCCAGTGCTTATAAGGAAACAGTTGATGGATGAGAGTACATTGATCCTTCCCCAGCCAGTAGAGGCCAAGGACTTTACAACACAAGCAACCCCAACCACCATCGAAAAGATCAGCTCGCCCGTGCTCGTTCGTAGACAGGTGATTGATGAAAGCACCATGATGGCTCTTCTTGAAGCAAAGGACTTCAACTCACAGTCCAGTCCAAATACTACCCACATTTCTTCTCAATCTGAAAGAGCTACCATGTCTAACATGCCTAGTTCCCCTGTATTGCTAAGGAAAACTGACGAGGGTACAATGATGATAGAAAGCAAACCACACGATTTTACAACCCAAGTTACTCCCACAACATCAGATGGTACTTCTCAGCCAGCCTTGCGTTCTACCTTTGATAAACCAAGCTCTCCTGTTCTGATCAGGAAGCAGGTTAAAGATGAAAGTTCAATGATTCTGCCACCTCCTACAGATGCCAAAGACTTTACCACCCAAGCTACTCCCACAACATCGGATGGTACTTCTCAGCCAGCCTTGCGTTCTACCTTTGATAAACCAAGCTCTCCTGTACTGATCAGAAAACAGGTTAAAGATGAAAGTTCAATGATCCTGCCACCTCCTACAGATGCCAAGGACTTTACCACCCAAGCTACTCCCACAACATCAGATGGTACTTCTCAGCCAGCCTTGCGTTCTACCTTTGATAAACCAAGCTCTCCTGTACTGATCAGGAAACAGTTGATGGATGAGAGTACATTGATCCTTCCCCAGCCTGTAGACGCCAAGGACTTTACAACACAGGCAACCCCAACCACCATCGAAAAGATCAGCTCGCCCGTGCTCGTTCGTAGACAAGTGATTGATGAAAGCACTATGATGGCTCTTCTTGAAGCAAAGGACTTCAACTCACAGTCCAGTCCGAATACTACCCACATTTCTTCTCAATCTGAAAGAGCTACAATGTCTGACAAGCCTAGTTCTCCCGTATTGCAGAGGAAAACTGATGAAGGCACGACGATTACAGAAAGCAAACCACAAGACTTTACAACACAGGCTACACCAACTACTTCAGAAAAACAGAGTTCCCCAGTGCCATCAAGAAAAACAGTGATTGACGGAGGAACGATACCAATACCATCTGATGCAAAGGACTTTAATACCCAGGCAACTCCGCCTACCACGGAAAAGCTCAGTTCTCCTGTGTTGATTAGAAGGAATGTGATAGAAGAGGGTACAATGATGGCATCATTGGAATCAAAGGACTTATACACACAGGCTACACCTACCACATCAGATGGTGTTTCCCAGTCACTTAAGGAATTGACAGTTGACAGACTAACATCTCCGGTCCTTATTCGTAAGGTCATGGCCGACGAAAGCACTCTGATTCTGCCTTTGCCTATTGATTCTAAAGATTTCAACACTCAAGTATCACCGCCAACCATCGAAATGGAATCGCAGTCCGTAGACACTGCAACATCAGAGAAGATGAATTCGCCAGTTTTGGTGAGGAAGGTTGCTGTCAATGAAAGCACTATGATGGAACCGTCTGCTGATGCAAAAGATTTCACAACTCAGATTTCGGCTACGACAACAGACTATGGATCTCAATACCAGAAAACTTCAACGTCAGAAAAACTGAGCTCACCAGTTATGCAGAGAAAGACAGCTATTGACGAAGGAACTACAAACATAGTTCTTGAGGCAAGAGACTTTGCAACTCAAGTTTCACCAACAGGGGTAGATCAAATCTCCCAAGCTAAATGGAAGTCAACAAATGAAACCACAACAACAGTGTCAGTTGAAGGTAAAGATTTCACCACACAATCCAGGCCGTCGACATTGGATACTTCAACACTTCCAGAAAAGCTTCCATATCATGACACAGCAAGTTCTCCAATCACCATGAGAAAGAGTCAAGACTCACAGTCACAAGTACAGCCATTAACAGTGGAAGACGGTACTGAAATGGTGAAAACTGAATCCAGCGACAGGACATTGCAGGTTTATCCTGAAAATAGGAGTCAATCATCCCAGTACTACACCATGAATTTACCTGCTGACGTGAGTGTCCAGCACACACTGGAAACGCGTGAATCCACTTCGACTCCGAGAAACATTCAACTCACTGATAGAGGAGGTCAAGCTCATCCAGTGACCACAGAGTTCTCGACCCAGTATTTAGCAAAACGAGACACCTACGAGAAATGTACTGAAGTAGGTGGCGAAATCTCAACACAGGAAATTCCTGTAGACGATGTCGTGCGTCCAACGATTGTACAGCCCGTAGAAGCAGCTCCTGTGTTCGTGCAACCAACCATCAGCTATGCTGAACGACTGCGACTCAGGGAAGAGATTCGACAAGAGGCAAAATATGAATTGAGGCGAGAAATCAAAGAGGAGCTGATAGAAGAAATTCGTGAAGAAATCATTAACGAAGTGCGAGATGATATCAGAGCCGAATTCATTACATCCATGCACGAACCACAGCAACGACCACTTGTGGTGACCAAATCTACAACTCCAGTTCAGACCAGACAGTACGATGAGACCGTTGAAGCCAAACCTTACATGTTGCATGAAAAGCAGCAGGTTGAAATCAAGCAGAAGAATTTCGGCAACCAACACAAAGCTCCCGAAAAGATTTCTGAGCCAACAAAGAAGGAGGAAGTATCGCCTGTCCGACAGAGTCTGGTTCCAGTGAGGGAACCTCCTAGTGAGGAGTTTATAACAACAATTAAACATGAAGTAAGAGATGAAGTTATCGACGAACTGACTGAGGAGTTGACTACCAGCATCCGAGACCAACTCAGTCTTGAACTGAAAGAGGAGTTTAAAGAAGAGATGAGGGAAACGGTCATGGAAGAGTTTAGAGAGGAGATATTTGACGACTATCGTGAAGAGCTAATAGTTGAGTTTGCTCCTCGAATCAAACATGAAATTGAGGAAGAGGTACGGGAAGATTTGGAGGTAACCATCAGAAGAGAGCTCGAACCTCGAATCCGTGAAGAGATTAAAGAGGAATATATCCAAGAGCGGGTGAAAGAACTTTTGGTAGAAAGTCTAAGTTTCCAGGCACCGAAAGAACCAGACATCAAGACCAAGCCATCCACTGTTGAACGAGGTACCTTACCTCCATACAGTAAGGCTTTGGACAATTCAACTGAAATGCTTGTTGTTAGCAAAGATGCTTCTGTGCAGATGGAGGAAATAAAGCCAGTGAAGATTGACGAGGTCTGCCAGACTCAGATTCGGAACAGCACCAGAGGTACATCCACCATCAGATCGGATACGAAAGATTCAAAGACTCAAGTTCATCCAACAACAAGCGATCGTGGCACCACACCGGCTAAACAGAACAACCTACATTCGGCTTCTCAGACAGATATCACTCTTATGAAACATCATGGCGGACAGAGTGCTCTTCTTCCAGAACTAGTACATCAATCATTACAGGTGATAATGCGACCTCTACAAACTCACCAGACAGTAGAGACCAGGTATGATGTCACATCTAAGCAAACATCTATGACACCAAGACAACACAACCCTGCGTACTCACAAACAGAAATGCAGAGAGAGTCCCGTGTTACACAGGCTAACGTCGCTCAAAAGGAGTTTGCCATGCAGTCACGACAACCTAGGCCTCTTTCAAACACTGGCATGCAATTTGTGCCAACCACAGCCCAGAAGGAAACTATGTACTCGCCGAAGCGGCTCTCAAGCACCCAGTCACAGTCATTCACAATGCCTACTAGGCACACATCAATAGAACCTGACAGAAGTATTGGCCGCGTCAGCAGAGCAGTGCAACCACAGAAGCGATCGGATGTTACTGATCACATTGTCCAGATAGAGCCAGTAACCAGAGAAGGAGCGTCTTCACCGTTTTTCTTCCCAGAGGAGAAAATCCCTACTCATGACCGGTCACTCTCACCAGTGATTTTCTACAGTCAACGCCCAGAATTTGAATCTACACCCCCCGGCTTGGAATCTCTGTCACCTCGACCCATTGGGAAAATGATGACCCCTCCAACATCTCAACTCAAACAGCCCAAGAAAGTGACAATAGAGATGCCTTCGACAGAGAGAACACCACTGCGGTTGACACCGGTTACTCCACCAGAGACACAAAGACAATTCCAGTCTGGATTCAGGCTTCATGACCGGACAAAAGACTCATCAACTCGTCTCTTTGATTCTGAGGTGAGCAGGACGGTCCAGGGTATCGAAAAACTTGAGCCATCTCGTGAAGTTACGTACCAACAGCCGGTCGCCCAGTACAGACCTCGCAGTACCTTCCACACTCGTACAGATATCCAAGAATCTCATTCAACAATCAATCAGGTTATCGTCGACAACATGCCACCGAATTGTAGAATGGTTCTTGTTCATCAAACAACTGCTGGGACCACATACACAACAGCTATGATGACGGAATCATTATCTCGCACGTCTATGACAACAATGAGCAGTGGCAGTGTTCTCACTCAGATGAGTTATAAACCACCTACGTTCCTAAAATCTGATGATGCCGACTCGCTGGAGCTCTCAGATCCCGATTCCCTTGATGAAAAAAGTGACTCATCAAAAGTTGATGAATTGGAAAGAATAAGACGAGATCTGAGGTTGTCAAAAGTGATTTCATCTGGAGATCAAACAACTCTTGTGAGCTACCTTGTAGATGACAAGAAGCCTACAGGACGACCTTCACTGGGAATGAGCCCCTATTCAACGCGGCCTAAGTCAACAAAGGAGCTTCTTTATGGTAAACCTGGTTTCCCGAAAGTTGACCAAGGACCTAGTGACAGACTTCATGATGAAAAAGGCTCGCCCATCCCATCAATTCTAGGAGAAACTCCAACGGAACTAACATCATCTGCTTCTCCAGGAATGAAGCCAACTCACATCATGCATCGAAAACCACGCCCCTCACCTGAATCAACCCCAATGGTGACTCGCCTTGAAGAACTTCTCCGTAAATCAACACCAACTAACTATGGAGATTACGGGTGGCTGATGGAGAAAGGTCCAGAAAAACCTAAGAAAGACGAATATGATCTGCCATCGGTAGAGAAACTCAGAACTCGGTTCACCAAACCCAGAGACGGTCCTCCAGGACGTCCCGCAGATGACTCACCAAGTGACATAGAATCTGAAGTCAATACCACCGATTCAGAAACTGATTCAGAATCCTGGCAAGCAGTCATGGATTTCCAGAGTCCATATCTCCATGAGGACCCCAAATACTGGCCCTACACAAGACCACACAGGGCACCAGGGGTACCTAGCTCCGAATCCGAAGCTTATGATTCAGACGACGACACGCAGACTGTGTGTGGAGAGTTTGACTTGACGACACTAAGAGGCATCGAGTCCTCATCATCTGAAGAAGACATCAACCTGCCATCTGCAGAAGCCCCGCGACGTAGGAAACAATCCTCAAAGTTCAAGACGAGCCTCATCAGGAAAGAACTTTCCCTCTCAGAGGTGGTGTCTCCCAGGGCTCCTGCCTCCCTAACCAGCTACCAATCTATGCCTGACGGTGAGCATCCACTCGCTGGACGACGAAGCAAATCTATGTCTGATCTGAGGTAACGTTTGCATCTTTATCTTGAAGTTATGAAATATACATGTAATGTTATATAAAAGATCTTTCAGTAATATACCTCGATTTCTTTTATTCACACAACATAATTACAGCAGTGAGGAATTCAATGTATTTTTAACTACCGAAAGCAAATAAATCAGTCCTTGATTGGTTGTCAAGAGTTAAACTCTTCTCCAAGACATTTTCTTTCTACATTTTCATTAAGTCTCAAGTCTGAATATTTAATCTTATTTGTCATATAACTAGTATCTTGCACCATCAAAAACTATCCTTAAATTATCTTAAACTACGGTTAAAATAAAAGACAATGGAGCTCATAGCTTACATATCAGACCACCCAGAACTATCTTAACCTACAAAAACAATCTTCAAATATTGTTACAATTAAAAATAACTTCTTTTTTCATTTTTCTTTGTGTGTGTTCTTAACGTAGGAGACCGGCCGCTTCAGTCAGCGGAAGTGGAATGTCCAGAGCCGAATGGGTGCCTTCGGAATCCAGATACGCCCGGGTAGTAGAGAGAGTTCGCGACACCAGACCATCTTGGGGGCGCTACTCAAGGCTCTCTACCTCTGAGACTGACATTTCACCGAGAAAATCTCTCCATGACTTTGGGAAGTTTTAGACGAATGCTACCATCAAGAGATAATCACTCCGCGACCTCGATAATCTAGATGAATTCTTCTACCAGGAGATGTCAAGTGGAAGGATTGTAACTACCAATAAATATTAATTGTTGACAATATAGAAGAATCCATTTTTTGTAACGAGGTCGTGTTTGTATAAGACGTATTTCTCATCTGTTCATAGAGAGATTGTGAAAGCCCCAAAATAAGTAATTTGTAAAATTACTTAAAAGTGCTTTTTTATAGAAAATGCTTCTTTGCATAGTTATCTCAACAAAAAGCTACAGTAAACACGAAAAACGTAGAATTGAATAATATAAATATGATTAAGATGTAGAATCAAGAGCGTAGTTAATAAGTGAATGCAAATTTAAATAGATAAATAAATGATAATAACAATAATGTGTTTAATTCATATTTTTTTTATTATAAGATTCTTGATAAAGCAAAACAGTATATGATATCTTACAATATTTTTAATGTTCATGTGAAGCAAATGTTAAAGACTTTTCAAGTTAATATTTTATGAAGTGTTATGTAAATAAATTTATATATATTATTATGTTATCTTTCGTGATATATGTGCATCAAGAACATTAAACAAATTACCATTGTTTACATAAATCTTACTTTCCTAGATATTACTTTAGCTGCACATAACATTAATGTTATGCTATCTTTTGATTGCAATTGTATCATAATGTTAAGTAAGATATTGCGATTAATCGTGATATTTGAAATTATTCATATTATTCAAAAGTCACATATTACGAAAAATAAAGTGATATCCTTACACTTCAAATTCGTAGGATCAGTCACTTTAGTGTATAAAATTCAAAAAAAAAATAATAATTGTTTTATTTTACATTATATTGTTATCATGTGTGTTATATAAGCGTTCTTGTCAAAACAATCGAATTTCAGAAGAAAAACACACAAAAGTCAAATATAAAATTATTGAATTTTTTATATTGTAAAAATTGTAAAAAATGATTGATTTTTAAAGTTTTTTATGAATATGAATTTTTGTTATGTTAATAAAAGAAGGCTATTGTATTAAAAATATATTATCCAAGATTCATGTGAAAGTTGGTAGTGATATTTAATGCCATATCAGGTCTTTCATACTTCTACGTCAGTGTAAGTTTTTAAATAAAAGATTGCATTGTTGTATGAAAAAAAATGTCGAAGTATTTGAATAATGTTATATTTAAGCAGCAAAGTATTTTAATGAATGTGATGTTGCATAGATTTAAATATATCAATGCTTTCATTATGTACTGTGTGCTTACTTATGTCACTGTTGAATATCTAACACTCAAAGTGTAACTATGAATGTAAAAATAGCAGTACGTCTTTATAGCGGCTATATATTGTTGTATAATTATAATATGTATTTCATTCAAACTGAATTTCTGATAGACTTCAAAGTTGAATTTATAACAACTTTGTTACTCTTGCTTATTTTGCACTGTGTATACCCATGTATATTCACATATTTATTCATGTGTAACATTTATATGAATCTAAATTCAAGTAAATTGGTATATATACACTCAGTGTACCAATTCACAGATATCACTTTCATAATATTCCACAATGCCTAATCAAAATAACTTCCATATATTTATCCAAAAATATTGCGTATTATGCTTATTTTTCTATTTCCATCTAAAGACTTCATCCTACACTTTAATATTTTACATGAGATGATTATTTGCATATTTATACTGAATTTTTGTATACAAAATAAGCTTATATCATGTTGGTTGTTATATTTTGCTTCTATTCTATGCAAAGTAGTGCTTTAATCTACACCCATTTTTACATTGTACATAAATGTCATTTTAGTTGATAGGAAAATAAGAGACAGTGAGGCGTATTTTTTAGAATGTTTACCCGGTATATGATATGTTTCACAAATGTAATGTACAACGACTGAACAACAAAAAAGTGTATTTAGAGGAATGACTTTTGATATTACTTCAGTATAACGGAGAGAACCGTCATAAACATTTCCATTTATAGCTGTGTATACATACCGCGAAATTACACTATACAAATTAAATGACTATGTCGGGAGGGGGTCTCGAAAATGATAATATATAAAACTGTAAAGTACAGCTACGTCTCACGTTCCTAGACCATATTCTTCACGCCTATATATATATATATATTAATCATGTATAAATAATATTATCGACTTATTATGTCGAATGCACAGTACTTATACAGACGAGTGGGCTAAGAAGACGTGAGTTCAACCTGCTTAAACTCAAGGCATGAAGGTCATTCTGAACGCAAGTTATTTATATATTTTACTATAATTTGTTATCATAAAAGACAATATACATGACACGTTGTTCTCCGCAATAGGAGTTAAATTAGAGTTTTAATCGTATTATTTTGCAAAGTATAGCAACACTAACTTCTAGTAAATCTTACTATGTTCACATGCCGCTTAATAAAATGCTATGCACTAATAATTAGAAGAATATTGAACTTGTCTAGTTGGTATTTTGTTATGTATATGGTCTACTGTCAATATTTGTATTCCTCAGTTGGAATGTAATGCTACATCATAGTCTAATGCCTGCAATGTCAACTGTGTTCAAAGTGTTCAATATGATAAGATACACAAAGATAAAGAGGCATGGGAGATGAAGGGAGAGAGAGGGGAGGAGAGCAAAGAAAGAGAGGGTGAGGAAGAGAGAGAGAGAGAGAGAGAGAGAGGGGGGAGAATGAAACTATACCATAACTGATTTTTTTTTTTTTTTTTTTTTTTTTTTTTTTTATTTTTAATTATTAATCAGAAATGAGAAACCATGACGCCACCAGTGGTTAGGGAAGCCAGAAAGAAAGAATAGATGAGAGGAATGAATAATTTCTACCAAGTTGAGATGATTTCCACCATGGTGGGGAAAAAAATTAATTTATCCCATACGGTTAGTTGAGCGTTATAAGAAAAATGTTCGATGGGGAGGGGGTGTAGTCGTTCAGACGGTAATCGTAATCACGAGTTCATGAGGGAGAGATAGACAGAAAGAGGAGGAGGGAAAAACTTGGTGGAATGAATAAGCGAGAAAGAGGGATAAGAGTGAGTTGGAGAATGTAATAATAATAATAACAATTCCGCTTTTTTTAAATATAGTGCTTAATACATCTATGATGTCTCTAAGCGCTTTACAGATATACATGTAAGGGAGTGGGAGAGAGAGCCGGGGGGACAATAAAGAGAGATAAAAAGAAAGAGAGAGAGAGAGAGAGAGAGAGAGAGAAGAAGAAAAGGTTTATGACAGAAAATTGTTTATATCAGAAATTGTGTAGACCTGCATGAATGCTTTTTAATCATGGGGTAAGACGCTGCTTGTGATCGTATTTTGAGCTCTTTTTGAGGTAAAAGAAAGTATAATGCAGTCGGTATTCATGACTGTTCGCCCGTATTCATTTCTTTTTGTATTACCATCTCAGCTCCGTCTATCAAAATTAACTCACAAAATATTTCCCGTTAGTGAAAAAACGAGCCGCAATCAAATATCACGAAATTCTGTAATAAGAACCCTCATTTACTAATTAAATTAGTGAGTGATTGATCATCTCTATAATTGTACCATCGAATTGATGTGATTAAATGGGCAAACAAACCGTCTGGGTATTTTCCGTTAATTTGCGTCAACAATACGAAGTATCTTTTGGCGTGTCGGTTAAAGACTATTTAGAAAATTCAATAAGTTACCCCCTAGCAAGCTTGTTGGGTGTACTTCGTTGTGATTTTCATTGTTGTGATATTAATAGTGCACCTTTTCACACTTTCTATATTTCGAGATAAAAGGGGATATAAGATTGTGTCAAATAATCTTTTGTGATATTAAGGATCCTTTTTTTAGTGGCTGACCTCTCTGAAATAATCCTTAAATAAAGTAAGAGAAAAGTGGGAAATGAGCTGAAAAACCTCGTTTCGTTATCGCGGATGATTTTCTGACGGCCCATGTTTTACAATATACTTTAGATATTTACTAATGAAACTGTAAAAGTCCTATTTCAATGTAACGAAGTTTATAGCCTTATTCTAAGCTAGTAAATTGAATCAGAAAACTTTTTTTTTTTGTGATTTTTTTTGTTAAAGTCTTCCTGAAATCTTGATTTCGTCAATACTCGTAAGGAATACGTTTCATTTCATTGAGCCACAACTAGGATAATTATAAACTTCTGTATGTTTCATGATTCCAATTAATTGGCCCACCACGCTTCTTTGAAGCCAAAGCTTTATGAATGATGAACACATTGCAATATCACTTTCAACGATCAATATATATTACAGACCCACATATTTAGTTGGGTGTCTGGATACCTTGGTATTTCCCACCGAACGCAAATTCGTTCACTCGTCAGTCAATATGATCCCAAATGTATGGAAGCGCAGATGGGATACACCCCCCCCCCCAAAAAAAAAAAAAAAAAAAAATCATAATCAAGAATAAAACTAAATCGGGTTCTATTGGTCACAGTTACATTAGTGTACAAGAGCACTTTTAAAGGAAATATACAGACACACACACATATACACGCACACACAACCCAAAATAGACCAAACTAAAGCAAACTGTTATTTGTAGAATCTACCAGTATCAAAGTTGTTTACGTGATACTTTTATTTTCAATTAGAATATTACTGTCAGCATGATAAGGCGTTCTTATAGCTTAAGAAAAAGCAGGAAAACAAAAATTAATCGCAATAACATAGGTGATAACAGCGGAGACAACATAGACAATAAATGTTTCAGATCTATACACTTAATCTTAATAATCCTATTCATTCATCTGGAAAATATGTCGGAGAGAATCCAAATAGTTCAATTATTTATGGAAAGGAGTAATTTTGAAAATTTGCAATATTATTATAATAATAATAATAATTATAATTGCTTATATAGCACCTAACACTTACTTTATCAGAAGTCTCTAAGCGCTCTACAATAATGCAGCATAATTACCCTGGCTTTAGTAGTGCAGCTGTTACGCGCGCTGCGTTTCAAGGAATAAATTCCTACCAGGTACCCATTTACTTCACCTGGGTGGAGTGTGGCAAATGTAGATCAATGTCTTGCCAAAGGACATTAGTGCGGCGGCGGGACTCGAACCGCGGACCTTGTGATCGACAGTCCGGCGACGTATCCACTCGACCACATTGGTCACAGTGATGGTAAAGATCAAGCTCGCTTGACAAAATGCGAATAAATCCTCTCTACCCCTCCCCCCCTCCCCCACTTCCCACATCCACTTCATACTTTCCAAAGTGAGAGTATATCTCTCGAATCAATCACATAAATGTAATTGGTTAGCCGCGTTAGCGCTAAAGTTACCGATGGCAGTATGAGCAAATTTGCATACCTTTGTTATTATTTCTTACTGAGTCAAGGTTTGTGTATTTTGTTCTGGAAGTCTTTAAGATGGAAAATGATGATGTACTCACCCAGTAGCGTACGCAGGATTTTTTCAAACGGGGGGGGGGGGGGGGGGGGGGGGTTAACATTTTTAAATCGGGCCGAAAATTTCGCAACGAACCAGCCAGCCGCTGAATAAGCGGGGGGGGGGGGGGGGGGTAAGGTCACCTTTTTAGGTCAGCCATTAGTATAATTTTAAAAAAAATATTTAAAAAAAACACACACAAAGGGGGGGGGGAGGGGTTGCTCCAAAATACACACATACAAAAATATGAAGGGGGGTTTAACCTCCAACCCCCCCCCCCCCCCCCCAGCGTACGCACCCATGCTACTTGTTGGCCAGGATAGATAGTGACACTTTTTCTTAATGGCACTTCCAATGGCATATCTATGAGGTGCACTGGTCGAGTACTCCTTTCAAACTAAATGGGGGCCAAAAAAGGTACAAAAAGGAAAGCGAAAAAAGACGCCGTAAGACCCCCTCCACCCCCTAAAAATGGCTGCATGATGCCGATGTATGATATCGGTATGCCAGGCTCTGTGCTACGCCACTTCTCTACATCATTTACAAATCCAAGAATGGAGGGGGGGGGGGGGGGAGGGCTATTCGGTCCCACGGGCGAGGGTGTACTCAGATTTAGTTTGAATGGGGGTGTGTGCCTAAAGCTCCCAAACCCATATATATTTCTAAGAGTCATTTAGGCTGAAAAGGGAAAGGTTCTGAATAATATTTATTATTTTTAAAAAAATGAATAAATTAATAAATAAATTAAAAAAAAAAAAAAAAAAAAAAAAAAAAAAAAAAAAAAAAAAAAAAAAAAAAAAAAAAAAAGCGAAATTATTTCAATCATTTTTGCATCTGGGATTTGCACTTAAGCGAGATAGACCTATGCGTGAAGTATAATTTTAAAGAAAATAGTAAACCATGTTTAAGGCAAAGATCTAAAAGAGGGGCCATTTTCAGGGATTTTAAAAACACAAGCAAAAAAGCGACCCATTTGAGAGCGGCACATTCCCGTTTACCGTATAAGGCGACCCCCCCCCCAACCCACCCCACCTTTTCCCCGATTAGATCGCGACCTTCGCCTCGAGAACAAGACGCAAGCAGCGTATTCTAAGCTTCCCGGAGATCGTAGTTTTTCGCGGATTTCAAACAGTACGGCCCCACTCCTCCCTCCCCCAATCCTGGTGTGCATTAATTAGCCAGTACGTCAGTTAAACTGTACTTAAATCGTGAAATTCAACATACTCTTGGATTTTTTTTTTTTTTCAGAGAGCAATTTGAGAGTGTAAATATTGCATTGGGACGCATTTTTTTAAAGAGTCTATATACATAATAAGTATTGAATTGAAAATATTTCTTTTCATGTACCACGGTGAGCGCTGACTTATTCTGGTTCGTTTAAACAAACATGACACATTGAAGAGTGCAATTGTCGACAGAGTGACGTAGCCAGGAGAGGAAGATGATCATGATGAATGCTCGCTGTGCCTGGTTTGTTTAATTTTAGAAAAATCGCTTCATAATTCTTCTTACCCCTCCCCTACCTAGGAACGCAGGAGCTTTGTCAGCTAGAGAAATAATTTAGAGACAGGCATGATATCACAGACGTATGCAACCATGGAGGTGAGACGGTTCTTCCTGATTGCCTTTATGATGGCGTGCCGAATCAGTGAATCGACATCAGCTTTGTCAGCATCATCGTCGTCGTCGTCCTCATCAGCAGCAGCATCGGGATCAGGGTCGTCATCAGGGTCGGCTGAAGGTAGGGTTTGAAATTTGCCGTTGTTTTTCATGTTGCCGAATCAGTGATCATTAAAAACCACCTAATCATCACAATTAACCATGACAATTATATCTCTCTGTGTTTGATCACAGTTATCTCAATTGCGGCTCAATTGACAAAGGTAGAATGGTGCAACACGGATGTTTTAACCAGAAAGAATAGACATAAAACATTTCTTCGTTACATGATCTCAAAGACTTTCGAAAAGTCAATCTAGGGCAACTTTAATAGTTCTTGTCTAGCACGTAATCCTGATATGTTTTTATGGCATGTACAGAAAGAGTTTCTATTAATGAGGTAATTGCCATGGCAGGAACAAGACGAAAACTTCTGGATAATGTCAGAGGTCGATAGCTATAAGCTTCTAGGGTCATGTTATTCGAAAGAATGATTTGGGTTATCTTGCACTGACTGGAAGAATCGAGGGGAGGAGGGGAAGGGGTAGAAGGAGGATTCTGTGTATGAGTAGCTTACGGAGTGGGATTTCTGACAGTGGAATCGGTCCCTACCTCCCAGAGAGTTGTGGCATTCTATGGTCGCCAACGTCTCAGGACATGACACGAAAAGAAGAAGAACAACAATACGCTATTGAAGTTGCTCTTGAGATGATTTATCGAACTTGTTAGCTACCAACTATGATCACCATCACTAGATTGTTGTCACTCTCCGTATGATCACATTAACCCGAAGCGTAATTCATTTGTAAGGTGGAAATATATATCAAGAAGAGATTTTGTTTTAACTAGCAAAGAATAGACAGAGGTACTTTTTCTTCAGTTTCTAACCATTTTCTGAGCGCCAGCAAACTGCAAAGTATTGCCTTCCAATCTACATCAACGAACAGTTATTTTGGCATAGGATTAATTAGGTTCCCCATGATATGCTACACTTCTTTTTGTTTCAGACTAATTTTTATATATCTCGATTATTATTATATCTTAAATATTCTCCCAATTTTCTGTTCCAACAAATGTGTGCTGCTATTTAACAATAATATATACAAACAAACTCATTTGTCTTACTTGATATTATATTACAAGCTTCTTTTTTTAAAACCTACAACATTCACATCGACATGTAGATATCTGCTTTGCGGAAATTTAAATCATTTTGTTAGTTTTTTTCATTTATCATCTTTAAATTCCCGATCACACCATTGTTCGTCTACATCATTTCAAACAGTTGTTGTTTTTACATATTTACCTTACCCATCGAAACATTACATTGTATATTCTTCAATTAATCAATTTGATCATATTTCAAAACAGTTCCTAGTACATTGTTACAATAAACATGATGAAAGTTTTTCCTATGACAAGTAATCAAATGTCTCTGGGTTATCATACTGTGGTATTTCATTACCCGTTGCACACGAGGTAGTGCACACGAGGTCCTGCGTCAGCGGTTGGCGCAGCCTTTGACGCACCGTAATATGGGAGGGCGACATCGCACAACATGTAAATGCAAAAGTGAATTACTGGCGCATGGTCATTGCGTTAACGTACATTATTAGAGCAGGCAATGACGTAATCAAATTGACGCCTCGTGTATTACATGTATATAATACTGCATTGTGTTTAGAATCGTTTTGCTTAATTATTAAAAATGATCGTAAAATCGAGTGCATGGGCAACGTTTATTCTATTTTACTTGCTAGGCTGATTATCTACAAATCCTGCAAATTGTCTAAAACTCTAAATGGTAAGATTTACTGCTTAAAATGCCGATCAGGACAGCGTTTCATGAAAACGTCTTAAGTACAAGTTCGACGGCCTCCCGATCCAAAACTCTTCTATCTATACAATGCGTATCAGAAAAGAGTGTACCCAAACATAGAAGCTTCTAATTAATAAGTTATAACCTATGCGAATTCGAATCATATTTCAATTTAAAGGGTAACTAACATCTTGTCTAATGGTGCCATATTCATAATTTTGCTGCTACCGATCACTGAGCAACATGCTTTTCAAAAAGTATGGTCAAAATCCTCTTGTACCAAGTTTGGGCTGAAGCAATGAATGTGGGTCAAAAGCTATCATGTGTGTTTTTCTCATTCCAAACAAAATTGCTCACTTACTTACAGTGACTATTAGGCAGTTAAAAAGAAACTCAGGGAATTGCTCATTACAAACAAAATGTATGATATTCTCTTGATTACAATCTTGATATCATTCACATCCCTTGTTTAAGGTAACCCCTCTCATTGAGTGATACAAAATGGAGATGATATTTTATTTAATGAAAGTCTGCTGTCAATTTCTTTGATACTTATCACCATGTTCTTTCTTGCATTTAGGTTTAGTCACGTTTTAATTTAAAATTTAAAAGGGTTTAAGAACAAAGAAGTAAATGCATATGACTTAACCCACATTCGTTCCATCGGCCCAAACTTCGTACAGGGTGATTCTGTCAACATTTTTTAAAGACCCCGGTGCTCAGTCACCCGTTGCAGAAATATTATAAATATGTTATCATTAGATAGAAAACGAGGTACTCTTTATCATGAAAATAGATTTCAAAGTCGTAATGGTTATTAATTTTTAATTAGGAGCTAGCAAAGTTGGATACATCTTTTTTTTAAACAACTTGAGGCACACATCCCATTAATACTGACTGACGAGGCCTCATGCTTAAGTTCATCCTCTGAAAATCTCTTCGTTCCTAGATTTTTTATAAATGAAAGGAGACTTACAAAGAGCATATACGCACACAATTCCCAAGCTTTAATAACAATAATGATAATAATAATAATAATAATATGTCTTGTTTACCCAGGGTAGCCTCATCAGTATTCATACTGTTCTCCCTAAGGGCCCTGCAATCATATTATTAGATTTGGAATTAATTATCAGATTATCAATACCTAAATAAAGCACCAACATAAAACGAATTAATAAATCAATAGTGAAACCATTCCTTAAAAATAATAAGGAAGTATTCTTGGAGGGGGTGGGGTAAGGGTGGTGGGGAGGGAGGGAGGGAGGGTAGAAAAAATACATGCGCAATACTCATTATTATGTTATTATATCTGTGTAATTATTTTATTAATTTGGACGCCTGAATCAACAAGCTAGCTTCCTACTCATCTTCACAGTTTGTTTAAATTAATTTAACATAAAGCTCATGATTTGTATATTTTAAACCGTCTGTGCTTTATCACATGTATATATTAGTTCGCTTTTTAATGGAAATAAAGTCTTTTGAATTGAATTAAATTGAATATTTTTTTTACTAGTCACTTACAGTCTATCAAATCGTCAGCATTTTGTTAAAGCCACACAGACATGCTACTCTTTGATTGTGCACTGTTTAAGAACTGTACATTATCATAATTATCATTTTCATCATCAAGATCTTTCTTTGATTATTAACTGTTATTCAAGTCAATGATGATGGCCTTAGTTTGCAGGGACAATGATCATGACGCTTAAATTATAATAAATGAACTATGTATCTATCAATTTATATCTATCTACATATCTGTATATTTTTCATTATCATTATCCTTGTTATCAATAATGATTCAAGCAAATGTCTGTCATCTGGCGTGGTCACTCGTTATTTAGTGAGGCCTGTTTATTTATTTATTAATTTATTTATTTCTGATATGTATATATACAGGATGGCATATATTTCACCAATTGTGAGTTATTGAGCAATGCCTACTGATCGCTCTGTTACCAAATATTAATACTACTACAAGTAGTAGTAGTAGTAGTAGTAGTAGTAGTAGTAGTAGTAGTAGTAGTAATAGCAGTAGTACTAGAATTAGCAGTAGCAGGATTAGTAGTAGCAGCAGTATCAGCAGCAGTAGCAGCAGCAGTAGTAGTAGTAGCAGTAGCAGGAGTGGTAGTAATAGTAGCAGCAGCATCATTATTATTATCATTATCATTATTATTAATATTATCATATCATTTTCATTCCTATTACCATTCTCATCTTTACTATCATCATTAGTGTTTGGCGCATACGGCTGTCCTACCCCTTTGGATTGGGAACCCATCGGTGAGCAGTGTCTACTGATCGTTTGGACACCAAAGACTTGGCAAGATGCGCTCGATATGTGTGAGGACAAAGGAGGCGCCCTATTCTTTCCGGAATCGGCCGAATCAATGACCTTCGTCAGAAGTAAGTATGTATTGAGCGGGCCTGCAGTTACTTGTAGCTACTTGCGCCCTCTATATAGCAAACAAATCCTAAGCGGTACACGTTGGTCCCCCATGATCCCCTTTTTCTTATGTTAAGTGAGAGCTGATTTGATGAGATAACCACCTGTCAGTGACCATGCAGGGAGTTCTACCCCCCCCCCCGGCCAAACTAGTGCAGACAGGCGTTAATAATTGTCGTCTATCATTGGGAAAGTGATTATATTCATTGTTATTATTATTATTGTTACTCGAACAATTATTAATGTTGACAGTAGTAGTATAATAGTATTATTAGTTTTATACATTTTTTTCGACTATTATCAATCCTTTCATTATTATTGCTGTAATTTAATTAGCATTGTTAGTAGGCTTATCATTATTATTATAATTATCATAATTAGTATTATCATTACTATTATTGTTATCATTATTATTATCATTAATATCATTACCATCCGCACCATTATTTACATCATATTATTATTATTATTATTTTTAATATTATTACTATTATCATTTTCATCATTATCATAATCATCATTACCATTAAGAAATATCTTTTAAATGAATAATTATAATAATGTATAACTAGGATTATTTTTTACTTAAATGCCTTTTCTGTTTTTGTTCTTTTGTAATGGATTTGTCTGGTTTAATTGTACTGATGTTTTGTGTTATTGTAATCTTTATATTTCTATCTCGTTGTTAGTATATTTAAGGATGTTTTTATGTAAATTTCATTATATTTGGGAATAACCTTGATAGGTCATTGGCTTCTGTTTCTTCCCACCACATTATGATTTAAATTGAAGATGTTTCATTTAAACGTTTGTCACTGTATGTTATAGGCCTATGCATATAAATTGTACTTGTGTTGTGTTTTTTTAATCAGATGTAGAAATAAAACTTGGACTTGAACTTGAGTTATTATAATTATCATTATTATGAGAAGTAGTAGTAAGTATTACTATTAGGGTTTTTTGAAAGTGTAGGAGGTAGCCGTTTTCCCCTTCGTGCACATATACGTATTTCCCATCGTATGTTTTATTGTATATACTATATAATATTCTATCTTTAAAAATAGTAATTTGTTTTAAGCACACATGTCCCCTTGTAATAACAACAGAGAATGTAGACTTCTGGAGAGAGGTGAAAAATAATTTGTTTGTGTGGAAGAACATCAGAGAAAAAATTGATCCCTGAAAAACATGGCTCTCAAATATGCATTCATAATATAAATATGACATGTAACAGCCGGTTTTTATGCCACATGTCTGTGTAGTCCCATATACACCTTTCTGTGTACAATGCTTGTTACTTACCAATATTGGGCCACATTTCTTATCATTTTGATGAATCCAGAACCTTGCAGTACACACCAATATACTGATAGGCTACATGATCAACTTTTTCTGACTGATTCCACACCGTTTCTTTCACAATGCAATCGCATAACCAGAACCCAACTTATATTTTTAAATATGGTTTAAATCCTGTCTGCACTAGTTTGGCCAGGAGGGATTAGACCTCCCTGCATGGTCACTAACAGGTGGTTATCTCGTCAAATCAGCTCTCAATCTATTAAAATAAGAAAAGGGCGATCATGGGGGACGAATGGTCACCAATAATTTATACATTGTTTGATATAAAGAGGGCGCAAGTAGATATAAGTAGTGCAGTAGGGCTTTAAATCAATATGGGTGGATTCATAATTAACAGCGCCTTCACTGGCAAGCCGCGATAGCACAATTTTTTGGCTCGCAGATCGACATCTAGTTTTCAACCATGCACGAGCAGAGTAACAAAACGCTAGCCACCAATCGACATCATTAAAGAGGTACGAAATGTGTAAATTCATTGAATGAGATTATATAATGAGATTATTCTGCTATCAGCGCATATGTTTATATTGAATGTGAACGTCAAACCGAACCCATCAATTGATTCTGCTCGAAAATTCGGAATGATTCTGAACAGCAAAGTAACCGAAATGACCATACTGGTGTTGATGGTGGTCAATTTGTCCTGACTTTTTCTAGCACAAGGGGTATTTTTTTTACATTGTGTAGGCCTATCAAATCTCCTTTCCTTATAATGTCGAGTGGAAAAATACCTCTGACCAAAGTGACCATGACGGTCCGTTTTAGCCGAAATGACCAAAATGAGGCAATACGACTGACATTTCTGGAATAAGCGCAAAATGTTACCTTGAGTAAGCATTTCAAACCTCTTCCTCACCACAAAAGAAATATCCCATGATGCATCACTTGAAATCGACTAAACACTGAAGTCGCTAGATGACGCCTCGGATTGTGATTCCACCGTATTAAAGGGATAGTTGAGTTCTGTTGCAGAGGGCGCTACACAAAATATATTTTTGTAAGATAATGAAAAACTGAGTGTCAGATTTGAAAGAACATACAATCATCTTTGTTTGATCAAAATCGGTTTAGAGACGGCTGACATATCCATAAATATAACGATTTATAATACCTCCACAAATATTCGATAATTTGAAAAAGCCGTTGTAAAAAGGAAATAGCGCCTTTTACGTCGTATTTCAGCCAATGCCGATGTTGGCTTTTTTGTTGGCATTTTCTTGTTGGTTATATAACGCACAACTAGCCGGCCCATGTATTGTTATTTTTAATTAATTAATTAATTAACGGTCTCCATATTTTTTTTAAAGTGGAGCTGACTTGGTATGATCGTATTGGCTAAATTTGAAACATTTTATGGTCTAAAATTCCCTTCATAGCAATTTTAGGTCCTAAAAGGGCACTAGAAATGTCATAGATAAGAATAAGAGCAATGACCATGCACTTTGAAGGCATTTGCGGTACGAAAACAGAACTCAACTATCCCTTAAAATGACTGGATCTTCATAAAAAAACAAATTTCTCTCGCTTGTGTCACATGTTAGAATCGATCTCGACGTCTACTTGCCAAGGGTTCTGGTTGGGCTGTATCGATCGCTCTAGCACCGCCACCGGTCAGTTCGAGTGCCCAAACCAAGATGGCGTTTACTGGAACAGCGAAACAGATTTCTCTGGATATTGGGGTAAGTAGCTTTCACAATCAATTTCACTTAAATAAACGTTCATTTCTTGCTTATAATGAATGAACATCATAAAATGCTTATTTTCATGGAATAGGAGATAGGCGAAATTCAATAAAAGTACAAGGATTGTCATGCTTATGGTGGTGCATGTCGCCATAACAAAACAAACATACATAATAATGAAATTCTACATAGAAAAAAATAATAATAATAAATAAATAAATAAAGATATAATTCAAGAAATAAATATCCTTGATATTATGTCCATGCCTGCAATTGAGTCGACAATACGGGAGGGGCCGGTTAGGTCAAAATTCAGGAACCCCACGACTTTTACAAGCTTATCGCCTGTCTGATTATCAAGATATTTATGATTGGAAATCGAAATCAAATTTTTCGTTTTCCTAACGGTTTTCATAAAACTACAGTATATTGGGGGAAACGATTATGGTAAAAACCAGTCACTCAAAGATTTCAACTCTTTGAGGCACTTCTTGATCATTTTGAAGCGCAATTATTAGGGCTTCAATATTATACACCACATCACAGTCACTGATAATACGTAGGGCCCTGCATCTCAGATTTAACATTGTTAAATGATGCCTTTAAAGCACATTCTTGATATTATTTATCATGAATTTTAGACTGGACTAGCGGTAACCCAGATCCATCTGTTCGAGGTCCTGGTGACTATTGCACCCTGACGCTAGGCATGGGCCCAGGGGAATACTGGATAGAGTACCCCTGTACGTATGGAGATGTATGCCCTGCGTGTTCGCGCAAACGGCAGCTCCCGATCACTACAGCGCCATCACCGTCAATGGTGTCTGATCCGGGCAGCACGATCACTCTTGGTAAGTAAAGTATACAGGCACAAACCCTAATTGTCAGTCCTGTAACAGGGGGTCTGAGCTATAGGGGGGTTCTAAAGTAGCTGTCCCATGGCGCCGGCTAAGCCACCATGTGGCACCGTGTGCTAAATTCGTTAGTTGCCCGTCAAAACGTCGAGTAGCGCTACACTACCTTTAGCCGGGAAGTTAAATTGCGCGTTCGGGCTTAATCTTTTGTTTCCAGCAAAACGTAGTGTAGCAAAAGAAAGAAATATTTGCAAATTAATTTGAGAACATAATAAATCAGGTAAATATCTTTCTCTCAGAATAGTTTTGGCTACATAGAACATAGAAACATTGTCGTTTGTAGCGCTTGAAGTAGGTGTTAAAACTTCAAAAGCGTTTTTCTCGGTTCCCCCTTTTTTACAAGCGCCCACGCTGCGCGACCTTTTACCGGGCAACTGACGAATTTCGTGCGGACGGTGGAGCACGTTGAGGGCACACGGCGGGGCATTGAGCGATCGGTAACATGATGGGGCCCGCTAGTGGCCGGGGAGACCCGGCGACGTGTGCCACCGCTTGTTCACACACAACGAGAACCGATATGAGGACGGTATAAGGACGGTATAAGGACGGTGGGCCGTTATGGACCCGTTCGTGGGGCGGTGAGAACGCGGTGACGACGTGATTTGTCCAACGGGTTGTTACCGTGTTCATACCATCCTCATACCGGGTTCTCACCGTTCGCTCAACCTTGACCTACCGCCTCATACCGGTTACATACCGGCCTCTCATTGGTCTATTAATGTTCAACCGCTCTCTAAACGACCTACAATGTAATAACGTCCTCTTACTGTTCCACCGTCCTCATAACGTCTCCATACCGGCCTGTTGCCGTGTTTTACATTGCGCCCGTTCAAAAACCGTGCCAGACACTGTGACTCCATATTTTACAGTATAAAAATGCTTCTTCTGTTGTTTCCTGCGGGCAGGCGCAGGCAAAACGAAAACGCCAGCCAAAAGAGAGAGAGAGAGAGAGAGAGAGAGAAAGAAGAAAGGAAGAGGACGTAGGAAGAAAAAGGATTAAGAGTCGAGAACGGTACAACGAATCGTCTTCTTTCTCTAATAATTTAATGAAACGTCAAGGCTTCCGCGCTTCGCACGGGAGGGGCGGGGGAAACTGCATTCAGATAAGGACCAAGTGTACTCTTCCTCCTTCTTTCACCGCACCAGCAAAGAATGGAACTCTCTGAAGAAAGACCCAAGAGAGTTTGTCTCACTCGATGCCTTCAAAGTGGCATTGAGGGATGGCACCGTCTAGCATGCAGACAAGCGACTTTTTTTAAAACTTTTTTTATTTATTATTATTCTAACCGCACATTCACTAAACAATGTGTATATATGCGTATCAACCCACAGTGCGTTAATCTTCATTTCATAAAGCCTGCACTTTTAAGGAAGAAGAAGAAGAAGAAGAAGAAGGATTAAGAGTCGAGAACGGTACAACGAATCGTCTTCTTTCTCGAATAATTATTTAATGAAACGTCAAAGCTTCCGCGCTTTGCGCGGGAGGGGGGCAAACTGAATTCAAACAATGATTAAGAGTCGAGAATGGTACAACGAATCGTCTTCTTTCTTTAATAATTTAATGAAATGTCAGAGCTTCCACGCTACGCGCAGAGGAAGGAGAACTTGATTCAAACAAGGATTAAGAGTCGAGAACGGTACAACTAATCGTCTTCTAATAATTTAATGAAATGTCAATAGAAACTGAATTTAGACAAGGATGAAGAGTCGAGAACGGTACAACGAATCGCTTTCTTTCTCTAGTAATCTAATGAAACGTCAAAGCTTTCGCGCGGGAGGGGGAAAAGTCCCCCCCCCCCCCCTCCCTGCACCCCCCCCCCTAGGGAGCGCGCCACGCGCGCTCTGTAAGTGATTCGCACGCTTTGCGTGCTCACTACCGCCCCCCCCCTAAAATAAAATCCTGGCTACGCGCTTGCCTGCGGGTCGGGAAGCTTCCTAGCTTTACCCCTCCCCTGCCAGCTGCTTCCCTTCCATACAGAGGTGGCACTCTGGGGGGAGAGGGAACAGTGCCCCCACTTTTTCAAGTACCTTTTTTTTTACATAGGATGAGAGCCCTTTTTACTTTGACAAGTTCCCATTTTCCTTTGCAATAAGTGTCAATTTTCCATTCTCATAACTATCCCTTTTCATCTCTGATTAAAGTGCCCGGTTTATTTTTAACAAGTGCCTCTTTTTCTTTTTAATCAGAGCCGCTTCCCCCCTTTTCATAAAAAGACCCCTTCCACCTCCGATAAATGCCTTATTACAATCTGATCGGTGCCCCTTTTCTTTCAATAAATGCACATTTTCCTTTAGTATAAGTGCCCCCTTTTCACTCTCATAAGGGCCCCTTTTCATATCTGGTCAGTGCCACTTCCTGGTGCGATAATCAACCCTTTTCACCTCTGAAAATTTCCCTTTTAACAATGATACGTGCCCCTTGTTCTTTCTAATAAGGGAACTATCCCCTTTTCATAAATGCCCCTTTTCGCCTCTTTTAAATTCCCCTACAAAATCTGATGGATGCCCCTTTTCCGTTGACAAAATATTTACCATTCTCATAAGTGCATTTTTCATCCCTGGTGAGTGCCTCCTTTCTGGTGTCAGAAGAGCCCCTGATAATTAATAACCTTTGCACTCTGACACGTGCTCTTTTTCTTTTCTGATAAGTGTATTATCCCTTTCGAAATGTGTCTCCTTTTCCTCTCATCAATAAATGTGCCCCTAATTTAAAGCGACTACGACCAATTTCCCCACAGAGAGAAACAAATATTGAAGTTAATCATGATAATGCAATCACAAAGTAGGTGTATATACCAATGTCTAAACAAGTGTATATATTCGTTTTGAGATTTCCCTTTGTAGGTGCCCTTTTTCCCAGAAAGTGTCCTTTTTGTATTTGTGCCCCTCCCTACTTTGGAAGTCGCTCCACCACCCCTGCTTCAATGTGTAGGCATTATGAAGAATTATGAAGAATTATGAGTAATTTTGAGAAGAACGATAAGGAGAACGTGAACTCGAGATCTGAAGTGCGACCTGCCGGCTGAGTGCCCAGCTTTTGTATTCGGTGTGTGACGTATTCAAGGCTTATATTCGATGCAAGTGTTTCTATTTTTATGCATATGAAGTACGGAGACTTTACTCAGTTCTGCCATGCCCATTACTGCTCTACTTTAGCAAAACCTCTTATATTATGCTAGGCCTTCGCCGACAAACAACATCTCACATTTTAATCAGGAGAATATGATATTGTTTTGTATATCAATGTCACATATTATAGCCTAAATGCCGAAATAATGAGATTCTTTACTCCTATATGTTCTTATCTAGCCTCTCAGAGCCGACATCGCAGTATGATCTACAGGGCAACTGCCTCCGAACTCGGATGTCTCACCAAAAGTTATGTGATCGTGATTGTAACCGTGCCTACGCGCATCCGATGCGCTGCACTGTGCCTCGCGCATGGGGAATGCGTATCTTTCAATTTCTTCAAAAGAGAGACGAAGAATTGCCATCTCAGCTCGGTCAGCATTGGTTCTGTTCCAGATGATGGGGTGAATTACAGCACGTCTTGCACCCATTATGAATGAAGTTCAAAAAAATAAACAATTTATCACCACTCATTACTTGTTGTAATTCAGGCTACATTCGTTTACGTCTTTTTGTCGAAAGTTATCCAGAATTTGTCATTTGAGTACTGTTCGATATGAAATTCGGTATAATTCACAAATAAGAAAATCTCACAAACTCTCTTCACGTCAAACATGGATATACCTAATTAAAATATTTTCTAAGTTCAAGCGATCCGTAATTAGGAAGACTGAAAGGAGACTATTATTGATTCAGTCTTTAAGAAGAAGAAAAAATATGTCATAATGTCATTTTTTTTAACGACCGTTTTTATGACTTGCCATGACCTAACAGATTCAGTCTGGTTCGCATACAGTCAGCAATTCCTAGAGCTACGCCTACGGGTGTGTATGAGGGTTGAATGAGGTTATGGGTGTGTCGAGGTGGAAATGGATTCGGGTATAGCGCAGAGTGGGGGGGGGGGGGATGGGGTAAGGGCTGTCATGTTCTTTGGGTGTGACGGAGAATGGTAGTGAGGTGTTTCGTTGGGGGGGGGGTCCTTTTTTCACAACGCCTTCACCCTACTCGCTCTTTAAAATGTATACGCGAGGAAAAAATGTACGAAGCCTGTTTAAAATAACCATAGTTCTATCTGACATGAAACCACAAAAGCTGATGATTTCAGTAAATCGGTAGTCGCATTTTTCAATCAAAAATTCTCTTTGAGACATATGGAAATACAACACGATACATCATATATAAAATCAAATTTGTATTTAAATACTTTCATTTCTGACAGTGGGACATGTTTTGTTAAGCGCAGTCATTTATTTCTGAAACTTAAATCACGTTTTCCCCCAAGCTGTACTAATATTTGATCCTCATTAAAGAAAATGCATATGGCTATGAGAATCTAATTCGTACTTGTTGTTATTATATCCAGTTCGGGGTTTACTCGTCAGAGAATTAGAGTAAGGATGAAATAAACTAGACAGTAAGCTGTAACATAAACAGGTACCTATTATAGTTGTCATGCATGCAGGAGGAGAAAAGTGGAAATCGCTAAGCACTCAAATCAAATACGATACAACAAATCTGAGTCATAACAGATACCGAAGGCAATTTTGTAACCTGTTTGACAGTCTTTCAAAAGTTTCAAATGATATTTGGGTTTTGATTATCATAAATAGGAATGCACGCACAAATGAAAATTATATATAATATCAAAATCAATGTTTTACCTTATATATATTTGAGAATTAGAATCTTTTTCCTTGGCCACTCAAAGTGAAATATAATCCCTAATCAGGCGCGGATCCAGGATTTCTAAGGGGGAGCCCAAATTTGAAATTATGCGAGCCAAATATTGGTACGTAATGGTGACACCGGCAGTGCCGAAATGAGCAAAAACGTTTGGGGACAGGGGAGGGGGTAGACAAAAAAATCTGCACCACCCCACTCTTACATGCAGGCCCCGCTGAACGTTTCTCTAAGTAGCTGGGGGGGGGGGGGGAGGGGCATTTAATAACGGCAGATGAGCATATTTTGATACCTTATTTGTGACACTGGCAGGACACAAATTGGTGTGGGGTCCAGGGGGCGGAGCCCCGAAAGCTGAGGGGTTTTGGGCAATAAATTACGGTCAAATGAGCATATTTTTATACCTTATTTGTGACACTGGCAGGACACAAATTGGTGTCGGGTTTAGGGGGCGGAGCCCCCAGAAGCTCAGGGGTTTTAGGCATTTTATAACGGTCAGATAACCATGAGGGGCCGCCTTAGGGGCCCTTGTGGGGTCAAGGGGCGGAGCCCCGGAAGCTCATGGTTTTAGGCATTTATTTACGGTCAGATGAATATATTTTGATACCTTGTTTGTGTCACTGGCAGGACACTAATTGGCGTGAGGTCAAGAAGGCGGAGACCCCAGAAGCTCAGGGGTTTTAAGCATTAAATTACCGTCAGATAAGCATCCAGGGGTCCGCCTTAGGGCCCCAGGTGGGGTCCAGGGGGCAGAGCCACCGGAAGTCAATGGGTTTTAGTTATTTCATTACGGTCAGATGAGCATATTTTGTTACCTAATTTGTGACATTGTAAATGGAATCAGTTGAAAAAGAAAGCTACTGGCACCAGTAAATTGTTATTTGAATTAATGTAAAATTCTTGATTTAATACCAATTTAATACCAATTTAATAATTAATTTTGATATAAGACAAAAAAGAGAAACCTAAAGAAAGTATTGAACTGATAGCACAGTTATGTGCACATAATAACTACTTAAATTCTATTTACACATAGGGCCTAGGTAGTTAGTAGGAGTAGGAGTAACTAAAGAAACTAAGAAAGGCATTGTTAATTTAAGTAAAAGCTAGACTGGCTGCCTTTGTCCTCTACAAATACATTAAGGAGGCATCTACAAATAACTAAAGACTAAAGTTATACAATGATAAGTATCTACATTTTATGTATCTGTAGGCTTTCCCACCAGCTTTGGGTATTAACCTGACGTCTTTCAGACAAAAAGTGAGATGTACCAGCGGGTGCAAGGTACTTTTAGGGGCACACATATGCACCTTTGTTACCAAAATGTCACGAATGTTTCCCCTTTTTTTCTTCGGGACACTCGATTATTCAGTTCCGAATGTGGGCATGCGTCCAATTATATTCAAAGAAGGGGTAAACAGGCGCCCAACCCAGAGTCATATGCCTACCAATCTTCTCATGTAGTATAATAATAGTAATAATAATAAAACTACAAGTAATTGGTTTCGAACTTTATGTACATTTACTAGTTTCCAGGTATGACAAAAAATAAAGCCACTTTTCGCAAAAGAAATATTGTCCATATTTACATGTACAGACAGTTCCTCACATTATAAACTTGAACATCCAAAATATATACATAATAGTACATTAAGTGATATCAAGTACGTACACATGAATTTACATGAAGGAATATATACAGGATAACAGACACATGTACCTTTGTAGTATGTCAAAACATAAGGCTGGTCCAATTAAAGCTATAGGGAATATGGAGTGGCAGGCCTTTTATGACATATGTTCCTGCATGGTTGTCCTGCCTCAATCAGTCCTGCCTCAAAAAAGTAGGGTTAATGGGTGATCGAGCTCCAGATGAAAGCTGTTGATCCTGTTTTGACCATGCGTGCATGCTGGTTCCAATATGTAGCCATTGTTTTCTTTTCATAAATTGCTCGCATAATTCACAGCCATTGTTAACAAAAACAAACAAAATCGAATGTATATTTCTTTTTTTTAATTGGATTTATAATCTGCAATTTTACTGGCTTAAAAATGCACACATTTACCCCTTTGAAAGCATATTATTGAAGATTTCCACTTGGACCTACATAATGACAGTCCTTTATTTATTTCATGCATGAAATTGAAAGGCCAAGAGTAATCACTTACATAATTATAACAACACATTTTACATGAGAATAAAAGGTAATAATCTCTAATAATTTGTGTTCACTTTTAATGGAGAATTCAGATTCTTCCATTACACGAAGGTGACTTCATAATCTTTCTTTTTAACTCCATGTTGTGGTTTATTGTATTTGCCCACGCCTTTGTTGAATCATTTTCTATTCATCAAAACTTTGTATTAGAGAACCGATAGCAAAAAAGGTAGAAATATAAAGAAACAACTGGCTACCACATAGGGACCAAGGACATTGCATTGAAGTTGCACCCACGCCTCTTTTTTTTAGGTTTTCCAACATGTTTATTAATTTTGCTAATTCGTTGAAGAACATGTAATAACATTCTAACATTAATTGTACAGAAGCTATGACTGTGTGAAATTAACAATAACTTCATGTTCGATTCGTAAATGACCGTACAGATCAGAAATATATAATATTCAATACTAAAGTCAAAAATGGAAGACTATTGTCATTGATAAGTCCTTGCTAATTCGTTGAAGAACATGTAATAACATTCTAACATTAATTGTACAGAAGCTATGACTGTGTGAAATTAACAATAATTTCATGTTCGATTCGTACACGGACAGTACAGATCAGAAATATTTATTAATCAATAATAAAGTCATAAATGGAAGATAAATATAAATATTTATTAATCAATACTAAAGTCATAAATAGAAGATAAATAGAAATATTTGTTTGTAGTACATAATTTAAGTTTCATTTGGTTGGAAAAAATACATTTGTATGAATTGTGTTTTTATTTTGTTGGATATGAAAGAGATATACGTGACAGTGAACATGATATCATGGGTTGTATTGATGAAGTAGCAATAGAATGATTTACAAACATTTACACATATCAGTTCGCAGAGGAGGTTCGTACACTTCAATTATTATATTTCAATTTTATTTTTAGAAGAAAAAAAGAATGGAATTCAAAGTGACCAAATGACTATCACTTTTTTTAATATATCACCTCAACCAAACTTTCACTTCGACAAGTTTGAAATGAAAACGATGACACATATTATTTAGCCAACCTGTCAATGAAATATACCTACGACAACCTCACTACATGACAATCAAGTGCGAGAAAGAATAAAAGGACGTGGGGCAAACAACACACGATTGTATATCGTCAGTCCCATTCATACAATTTGTTGTTTTCTTCGGCCCGTTGCTATATTGTGTTGTTTCAAAGTTTATTTCCAACACTATATTGTCAGAGAGAGAGAGAAGAAGGGTGGTTTTTTTCAACTGTGGGAACGGCGCACAGTGGGCCAGGGAGGAACCAAAGTGCGCCAAAACTCATGTTTGGGGATTTATTTTTTATAAATCCAGAGGAAATGTTTGGATTTCCAGGGATTTTCGCTTACATTTTATTACTAACATTTTCTCTGATGTCTAAGCTTTAAGTTGATACCAGATTTGGCTGCCCGATTCTGCCCGTTATTACGTTAGATCCGTTTTCCTTGCAACATTGCCCCGAAAAATGTGTTTATCTTGGTCCGCGATGTCAGAACAAGTGTCACGCGCCCCCTCGCGCCGTGATTTATGACCACGAATCCTTCATGATTCAGCCGCGGACCCCAAAAACCCACATTTTCGGGGCAATGTGGCAAGGGAAATCGGCTCTAACATAACAACGGGCAAGATCGGGCAACCAAATTTGGTATCAACTTAAAGCTTAGACAACAAAGGAAATGGTGGTATTAAAATTTAAGCGGTACACCGCGGAGATCTAAACATTTCTTCTGGATTTATAAAAAAAAACATGGATAATTAGTCCATTTTTCAGTGAATTACCCTATAATATATCATGAAGATTGTGTTTCTATTAATTTTAACCCATTCATTCAACGAAATGAATTATCAGGAATATGTGAGAGCAATTTCATATCAATAACTTAAAAACTTCATGTTGAATTGAAAGATTTATAAAATAAGTCACTTTTGCACTAAAACTGTGAATATATAGGATTTTGCTGTTTGAAGTAGTAAGTTTATACCC